GAACCTTTGTACGCCCGTGCGCTTTATTGAGCCCGGAAGCCGCGTTCCAAACTGCGTTTTTTTACATCAATGAACGCAAAAAAACGGGAATCCCCACTTCTCTAAAAATAACACATTTAAATCGAAGACCTGCGCCAAAAATTAGCCAGTCGCGTGAAATACTCCTGCCAGGAGTAGTAAAAGCTCTATTTTCTTCGAAGTAGACCCCGAGTTTCAGGTAGCATGGCCGTATTCTACCTAGTAGTCAACAAGACGATGCGGCGCGAGGTTTGGGAGCTAATCGGATTGAAACGACTATTTAAACCGGCGACCGGCTTCGTGACGACGTCGGACCAGCGCCTGCGCTCCCAGACTGGCCCCGCGATTATTTGAGGCTTTCGATAAAGTTTGAATAATTTTGACTCGGCTTCAGGTGAAGATTGCTGCGAAAAACTAGTGAGCGCGTCATTTATCGTTTCTCAGAAACGCTGAGTACTTACCGGCTCCTAAATTCACGCTCTGGACTGTCAAAGAACAGGAATTCCACCTGCCCTTCGGGTTAAGGCAAAGATAAAAGTAATACAGAGCTTGAATCTAGTCTATTGAAGGAAAATTTGGCGGCTAAAGCTACTAAATCAGTCATGAAACGAGTCATTTGGTCCGGTTGACTGGTTTTCAATACAAGACTAGGGCGAGTGCGCATGTTTTGTCTAAACTTTCAGTTTTAAGGGCTTTCGAATCGTTCCGATCCGATCCTTCTCGACCGAGTTTGAGGCGGTGTTTGTCTATCGGGACCACGTTATGTCATTTTGGTCAGTCTAAATGCATTCATTACGAAGCGTAGAATTCGCCACTTCTAAAAGGGCGCAAAGCGTAAGGTTTTCGCAAAAACGCTGGATCCTAATCGGATCCGGTCCGGTCCGGGGGTCGGTCCGGTCCGGTCCGTGGCGGACCGAGGGGCTTTGATTTGCTAGGAGAAACGGAAATGCAACATGCAAATTCGGAATGCAAAAGAGTGGCGTACCAAAAATGACGCAATGTGGGTTTCGCTTAATCAAAATGTATAAAATTATTCCTCTCCCACCGGACACCGGACCGGACCGGACCGGTCCGGTCCGGTCCGAAATTCTCGGATCCACTCGGACCGATCCGGACCGAACCGGATCGCGGACCGTCCGCGGACCGGATCCTTTGTGACCAACCCTGGTTCCAACACAACAATCATTGCACATCGCGACGAGGAAGGTCGTGTTTTGAATAGACCAGGAAGACCAAGAATTACATTTTTCCTGGCACTGAAAGGCCGAACAAGCGTTCGGTAAGCCACCTTGGCATTTGCGAAAAGCGCACCCAGAGCCGGTAATTATACAAAAGTATGATTTGGTACATTACTGGATGGGGTGTTTTCGGCGTGGCCACCCGAGAGCAAAAAGAAATTCCTTTTGTTTTCCGAATAAGAGTAGTATAATAAACTTTACTTAGTTTTTTTCTGGAAGAAAATTCCAAATTCAGACTGGCCAGACCCAAAAAACAATTCCTGGTTCCGCTTCTGTATTCCCAAAAAAATTCCTGACTTGAGAACCCCTCCCAAAGATCCAATGTAAAATTTCTATCCCTTCGCATCATTTTCTGAGACTAGATCCGCTTCTAGGCGAACATTTCCGTAAAATTCAGGAATACCATAGGCTGCCCGGGTCCCAAAACAATTCTTGGGTGTAATTATTTTCTCCAAACGCGCCTACATTCTCAGGAGATCTTGGGAATATGAGCATGTTGATTGGCTATTCTCACCACCCGCGTACTTTAGGGCCAAAAGACGGTAGTCAGGTTCGGCAGAGAAACTTGGTCGTACCTTTCGCACCCCGGCAGCTTGGCGGCTGGGCAAGATTTTCAGAAGTTGGCTGCGATGACGGAAGGAAATGCGCTTTATGAGGTGGGTAGCTTTGCAAAAAATTTGTAATTAACACTACAACCAGGGTTGAAAAGCCGCTTCGCGACTTTTCAACCCTGGCCCCGTCTAATCCCATCATATTCGTCATTCCGCATACGTCTCTCGAATCCCGATGAGGGAAAATGAAAAATGACACTCTCTTCCTGATTATATAGCCATTTCCGGTGCATGCTAATTATTTCCTAACAAAGCGGACTCCCGAACTTTTTACAAAAACAAAAATTTGATGTTTAAAACAATTAATTTTGTAAAATCCAATAAGCGTGCAGTCATCCCAGTGCCATTACGCACCTAATGACGTATCATACGTAGCTTAATACCCTTCCCCTGTCGAGATATCCTGCGGCCATGGTGACGGAAGTTGCATGCAAAGTGGCACACACACACGAACACTATTTTTTTATATATAGTAGGATAGTAGGATAGTAGGATATTCATACCCTAATTTTTTTAGTTTTACAAATATTTCCACCGACACCATGTGCAAGTTTTCGAGGAGCAATGCAAGGCCAACCCGGCGCTCTACGATTTAGTTCCTGATTATAGGAAAGGTAGGAGATTGATTTATTTATTCTTTTTCTAGTAGGCTAGCATTTCTAAAAATTCAATAAACCAGTTCATAGAAAAGGTGATTCATTAAAAATCAAACTAAAAGCATTATATGACGATTTTTTTGTCCATCAGGAATCATCTACGCATCTATCGGAATCATCTACGAAATCCTCTACGTCCTTTGCATGATTGCAATGTGCCAGCAGAAATTTATGAAGTTTATTGTTTATCGGATACTGTAAGTCATATTTTTATCTATAAAAACTTTGGTTCGATCTGGATATTTTATGGGCCTACGATAATAAATTTTGGCTTTTTAGGTTCGTAATCGGCATCTTCGACATGTTATCAATGATCCCGAACTCGTTGTTGCCTGGTATAAGATTTTTCAAAAATTTTGTAACGAATTTCAGGTTCTTTCCTCCTCACCGGACAGTCCTATTGCCGATCACCACTACTAAATCTATATTTGGGATCGTTGGCTTTTCGTGAGGATCGTGAAAACTATAAATACGGTTTCTTTAGCCGTCTGGACCACATTCAATATGCTGAGTGTTACACTGGCCGTCAATCGGTGCATGGATTTGAAAAATGCAACGCTGCAACAGGTGAGCGTAGGTTAAGGAGTGGCCGTAGCGAAATAAAGAAGGGCGTTGAGCGCACTGTGTTATGATGTACAAAGGAGCGCGGCGTTGCCCTTCTCAACAACGGGAAGCTTCTTTGCACTGCAAGCAGTTGTGCGTTCGATGCATTTTCGTGGCTGTGTGCCTCCTTTTTGTTATATCATACACTGAAAAAATGTTCCAGACCTACTTCGGCGGCTACAAGTTGATATTGTGGACGGGCATCCCCGCAGTCGTCGGGTTTTTAATGTACCTCTTCGTATACCCAATGGTCTACAATGCACCAGCAGCAACATATTTTTTCACAGCCGATCCAGCAAAGGCACATGTGAGTATGAAATTACCACTAACAACAAGGGCAAGGAAACAGACTCGAAAAACAACCATAGTGATTGTTGTGAGAAAAGGAAGTGAGGTCCCCAGATGTTTTTCTAGTGCCTGGCTAGATCATAGTTTGCTTTTTGGGTGCAGGGATTCTAGCTAGTACAGTTCTCAAGCACCCAAATGCTAGCTGAGGTGGAACTACCTGAAACTACAGAGGGTCCCAAAAAATGGCGCCCTCTAGCGGATCACAGAAGTGCCCGATTGTCACGATTTATGTATATGTGTCGAAAGTACAGTCTTTTTAGAGCAACCACTTTCAACTCGTGGAAGATGGAATTTGGCCGGCAACGATATTGATTTTGAATTTGTACATGTTGAAGATGCTCGTGCAGAAGAGCTTTCGGCAAATGAATACTACACAGAGAGTGGTGAGTCTCTTTCTCACTCTCATTTTCTCACTAGTTTTCTCGCTCTCTCCCCACGCTCAGTCTCTAAGTCTCTCTCCCCGCTGTAATCCTGAGGAGTTCGTGTCCTTGCAGATCGCCCTTCAATGCATGGGGATCAGTATGTCAGTAGTAGCAACCGGATGGCTTTATGTCTTGATGCAAGTCGTCGACCTTCCTCTGTTTATGGTCAACGTAGCGAACCTGCTATGGCAATTTTCAAACGGTACGTTTTTGGCTCGTTTTTAATCTGTTCTTGTGACTCACCTGGCCTACGCTGATCGTCCTTTACTTCCATTTTTATCTCGATTATCAGCTCACTTTAGGCAGCATGGCCGTCTTCTACCTTGTCGTCAACAAAACCATGCGCCGCGAAGTTCTACACCTCGTCGGGTTCTCGCGTTGGTGTGGAAGGAGTACGGTGACAGCCACGACGTCTGAAAGTCGTTACCGCTCCCAAACACTACAAACAAAGGCCGAGATTTGAGCTTTTCTCCCTACTTTTTGTTCTGATTAGACACATAAGTGAGACATTTCCGAACTTGATTGGCTTTTCACACGACTATGCTCGGTGGTTATAATAAAATCTTGGAAGTCACGACTTTTGCTGCAAGTTTTGGAAGACAGATTTGGGTGGGACATGAAATTAGTTCTTTAGAAGAAATATCATTCTCACGCTCAAAACTCACTAGCGAGCGACCAGAGGCTAGGACAGTGTTCTAAAAACTATTGTAGTAGTTCATGGGGATGTTCAGATTTTGACGACCAACGACCAAAGCTGATCAAACTTAAACGTTCGAAAACCGTAATTGGGAGTTAAGCGGGAAAGAGTAAAATCTGAAGCTAGAAAGAGCCTGTTTCGAACCGTGTCCAAACCGAATAGTTCTACTAACATAATTGGTTTCTCGAGTTCCTCGATTCCCACCAGGTTTTTATTAGAGCCCTAAAAACGCCTTCAAACATTACCAATAGTGATAAAAATTTCTTAACTGGCGAGAATTTCCTTAATTATGCCTTCCATCCTTTAAACAGAAATCAGATTTCAAAGCGATTTTGTCGTTCTGTGCAAAATGTGTTTTTAGCGCTTTATTAATTTCTGGAATTGCTAAATTTATGCCGATGCCATCATTTATCCGAACTCCGCGTCGCTACGGTCGCTAGGGATGGTCCGCACGCGCAAAGGAGTATTTTTGTCACTTCGCGACGCATCGATTTATTGATTATCAGATAGGAGACGGCCATGCTACCTGAAAAAAAAATAATGTATTACGAAAGCAAAGCGTATCAATATGTCAAATTAAAACTAACCGTTCGAAGTCTGCCAAAATATATTCGCCATGATAATCGTAAAATCCGGGAGGTCGAAAAACTGCATAGCGACGTACAGCCAGCCAGTCAGCACCACCGAGATACTGATCAAGAAGCATTGAAGCATGACCTAAGATAAGATAGGTTCGAAAAGGGTTGAACATTCGCACTTACAACTTTCTGCGATCGGTTCATCTGCCTGTAGCTGGCGGTGAACATCGAGCGCAGCATGTATATGTTTAGGCACAAGATACTGGAAGAGACGAGGACATTGTTGATCGGGAAGATGATCGGAGTCTAAAAAGATGTTGAATTTAACGGCAACCTTAGCCATTTACACCTCAACCTTCAGCGGATCAGCGCCAAAGAAATAGCCAGCGCTACTCACGTTGTAAATCATCGGGATTAAGAAAAGGTACAACGAAAACCCGTAAAGTATCGGAATCCCGGTCCAAAAATAGATGCGCCACCCAGCGAAGATGTTCTAAAATCAATTTTACTTTCAGAAATGAAAAATGCCAAAAAGTAAATTTGTACATTTCGCATCTTTTGTCCCATAAATTCCGAGCATCGCTCAATAGCCAGCACGATGCTCAATAGGCTGTAAGCCGACCAGCATGCTAAAAATTCAAGCAAACATTAGATCAAAAACGAAAAAATGCCAAAATTGAGGATGAAGTGAAAATACTAACTTACGAAATGAGATCGAGCCCAAATAGAGATTCGGCGTGGGATTCAGGCAATAAGGTTCCCCGGTAAGTAAAAGATAGGCTGTACTCAAAATTCTAAGAAACACTAATTTGTGAAACCTGGCAATAGCGAATTCGGGATCATAGAGAACATATCAACAATCCCAATGGCGAAACTAAAAAGTGTCGCTGAGGGCGGCAAGAAGTTTCTAACAGTATTCGATAGCAGACAATTTTCATGAACTTCTCCTGGCTCATCGCCAGCATACAGAGAAGGTATAGGAACTCGTAGAATACGCCGATGCATAAGCAGAAAAGTCCTGAGAAAATCTGATTTTCAAAAAAAAAAGAAAAAGGATCCTACCCTTAATTGGTGATCGCGATATCTGATAGAGCTTTAATTTTCCAGACATTGCTGTTCAAATAGAGTAACATGGTGGTAGTGAACGAATTTGTATGCCTAAAATACTATATGCCTAATCTGGAACGATATGGAGAAGACGAACCTCGTATAGCCAACCCCGTTCACCAAAATCGATCTCCACGAGAATCGTTTTCAAACCGGGAAAAATAAAGACCAACGGAACCCCTAATACTCTCCAAGAACTTATATTTTATAGCTGTTGACTCGCTTCCAAAATTTCCTGAGAATTCCCGGTACCTGATTGCAGTGAGCGTTCGGAACATGCTGCCTGATCCGTATGCAAGTTCTCGAAACCGCTGATTAGTCGGGAACAGAAAGAACCCCTAGAAGCGGTGGTTGGCTATTATGCTAACTATGCAATGCTGGGTGCGGAAAAACACGGTGGAGGTTATTGCCGTGATCCTATTTTGGTGGCCTGAGAAAGTGTGGATTTCGAATTCAGGTGACGATTCATATTTCCGGAAGGACCGGAAGTAAGCTGAGTTGGAGAATCGAATCCGAAAAGTTCTGAAAATTCTCCCGTTCGCCCCTATAGGGCCTGGCAACCAGGGAAGAAAGGGTGTGCCATGATCATTTATTCGTGGTAGATGTCACTCCGTATTTTTGAGATTGTGCGGTTGTAGCCTGTTGAAGCCATCCCCTAGATGAAGCGCAGTTCTCGATAGGTGAAAGGGCTGCGCGGGATGGTGCTCTTGCTCAAGTCGATCGGCTGCCTCCCGAGCATTTCTTTCTGCGATGATGTATTCGTCGTAGTTTTCCTTAAAATCCTTGCTTAAATAGTTCGAAAATGGAAGAATTAAGTTTTTTGCCGATTCAAAAGATGCTAGAAGCGATTCGAGGCCTTACCGATAAAATCAGGCGTTCCGACCAAAACTTGTCGAGGGCCGTCTGAATTTCTAGTTCATACTCTAGCTGGGCTTCTTGGTCCAGTTCTGAAAAGCACTCTTACGGCGTTAAATGCTTCGCGAGAAACCTCACGTTTCGCTAACCTGTCGCTACTAGATGTTCAGGTGGTTCTGGCCCAACATCAAACATTTCGAGCAAAACCTCTGCTCTTTTCATCATCAATCGGAGCAAGGGCAAGAGGTCATCGAAGTCGATCATCGTAACACCTGAATAACTTTGTGAATCTTTTTTTTAAAAGCTATCTGCAGATTTCCAACCAGCTAAAAGGCAGGGTGATAACTGTTTGGTGCCCACGTCATCGTCTTACCAAAAAAGCATCCCATCAGAACTTCCTGGTTCGCGGTTGAGTCCCAACAAGCATCCGCACGAGCTTCCCAGATACCTATGAAAGAGTTTCGCAGGCTTGGAAGAACTCACCGCCATGCAGCCTGAGCTTTTGAAAATCCTTGCCAACGAGCGCGGCGCGAGAAAAGCAAGGTTCTGGGTGCTCGGTGAGCACCATGAATGCGCCCATCTCGTTCTCATCCCCGACCACGTAGATGGCATAAGTCTGCATTCTGTCTCCCCACGTCTCAGCCTCATCAAGAAGCTTTCGCAGCAGGAAAGTCTGCGACGGCATCCAATCAGCTAATTTCCAGTTTTGCAGATAACGAAAACCACGTTCATAGAACGAGTGGCTGTCGACAAAGTCTCGCTCTCGTGTATTGCGGTTGGCCTGGGTGATGTGAATACAATATTCTTCATCCAAGCGAATTCGTCTGGGCCCAGTGCTCGACTCGAACGGCTTTTTGCATTCGGGTTGCGGACATTCAAGAAGTGGCGGATAGTTTGGGTCGAAGATGTACTAAAAAATGTTTTTTACTTGAAAACGACAAAAATTCTAGCAGCCCGAAAAAGGTCAGGACAAAGCGCTATCCTGCTTGATCGGTATCGAGTCTAGCCGAGTTGATTTTTAAAATATGAACAAATCACCTGATATGGCACATCTCGTAGGCGCTCGATCAAATGCTCATATCTGATGCCACAACAAAAATTTGCGTTCGTGAAACCTTCGACCGTCGGCCACTCCATGAAATTATTCAGCGTGCGTATCTTTTCAACAATTGCGCGGCGCACGGTTTCGAAATCCAATCGCCTGTAGTCAAAGGGGTCCTCGCGCTTTTCTGGGCAATCGGGTCGGATCACGGCGCAATCCGTTCTAATCATCATTTGGCCAAAGCTGTACCAGTGATGAAAATTTTCCGGTAAAGAACAGGTGATCAGCAAAGGTTCGTCAACAAATAGCAGTTGCAGTTGCTCGATGTTGTGCCTAGCCGTTTTGAGCAGCACAATTTGGTCTTGAAGGCGCCCGCGACAACCGCTGTCTGGGTCGAGCAAAGCGATAAAGGCAAAATGGAGGCAGCTGTCCCTGAAAAAGAGTCATTTTTGGATTCTCAAAGGAACTTCTCGAGCTGTATATGATAATGGAAAGTACTCTATAGCTATTCACCTGATAGAAGTATGTAGCTTTAGCAAGTTGTCGAATGCAGTACCATACAAGAAATCGTAAATAGAACCGGGCGGTGCCCAACTGTTCCATGCATGAATTTCGCCTACCCCACGCAGTACTGCCTCATGCAACATCGGATAGGGCTTCCAATAGAAACGGTGTAGTAAGCCATGCGGATCCGATGGGCCGAAGCGGGAATTCCTTCCCGTGCTCATCCCGAACGGCTCAATCAAGCCGGTCAAGCACCGGGGTGCCGACAATGGGTTCCCGATCCGGTTGGGCACCTTGGAGCTCCCGGGGCAACCTCTTGCTCCAGCCATGGACGCAGACGCTGAAATACCAAGTATGTTTCGTTCTTCGTCATACAGCGAGGCAAACGTTTGGCTTATCTTTGACGCTTCGCCGGTGCGAAGCCTCTTTTCCAACGCGGCGTCGTCCCAAACCTCATCATCGATCCGGCAATCCCTGTAGAGCGCCGTTCCTGGGTAGGCGTTGGATTCAGGCAAACCTTCGGGGCCCAGACCCTCAACCAGGCGCTGCACCTGAACGCGGCGCAATTCATTTATCTTTGTGCGCTCGAGGCCACGGATGCGGAATGGTTGTCGATAGATGATTTTTGAATTCGTGCGCTCTTCATCCCAGACTCGGATCTTGCGAAAATACGTCGCAATAATGTCGTCGAAGTCGGTGTGGCTCTGCGCCGCCTGTATCCATCGGCGCAGCTTTGGGAAATTTGTTCTCATTCTCGGTTCTCGTACAACTTCGGTTTCTTGGCTAGATCCTGTCGTCCCTGCGGGTGGGATTGGCCAGGAGGCTGGAACGACCAAAGCCTCACTAGCCGTCCCATCGAGGCCGATCGGCTTTACCAAGTCCATGTTACTTGGCGCTTTTATCGGCAACCAATCGTAGCGGAACTTCTGATTTTTCGTTACGCAGAGATCAAAAACAACTAACCAACGCCTCATAGAGGCGGCGCATCTCAGAAGCAGATGGTCGCTCTTCGAATGCGCTCGCCAAGCTTCTAAAACGGGACAGTTATATTGTTTAGTATCAAAGACAACATACCGCCTGCGAATCTCAGATAGTTTCTCCGCTGGGCTTTCCGAGTCGTAACGGATCGTATTCTTCGTTTTTGTGAATCTACGTGATCCACGCTCCTGCACTTCCAGCAGCGTTATGCCCATAGAGTAGACGTCACATTTAAAAGCGTGCTTCAAGCCACGGTGGAAAAACAACAAATTATTCCTACCTCTCGCGGGATTTCAGTTTCTTGCAGGATTTCTGGGGCAATGTATCTAGGCGTGCCGCGGATCCCGGACAATGGCTCGTCCACTTTCCGCATCACGCCAAAATCGGCAATTTTGGTCAAGTAACGATCCCCCATCAAGATGCTAGACAAACAACGATTCATATTGTTTTTCAATTTCCTCACTTTTCCGGCTTGATGTCGTGGTGGACGACTTTGTTCGCCTCAAGGTATTCCAACCCACTGTAGAGCTCCGTGGCCCAGCGAACGATCGTCGAAACGGTGTATACGATCGTTCGATCAACAATCACTAAAATTCGGAAATATTCGGAAATTATACAGCCAATCAGGTAGCGGTTCGAGATTTGGGTACAACTCACTTTTACTCAGGCTACCATGTTCGCAAAATTCCATGAATATCGAAAATTGATCGGGATCTTCATGCTCGTACTTATACGGTTCTTGGTGATAGCGCACGACGTTCGGGTGAACGAGTTTTGCAAAATTTGGGATTCGCGTAGAAGCACGTCACGGTCGCCATTAAGTTGCTTTTCAACCAAGGTACTAAAAGCTTATTGCTAGTGTCAAACTCCTATCAAAAAAGCCGCTGTCAGTCAAACCATTCACATTTCGTATCCTTCGACTTTGTAGACCTTTCCGAAACCCCCTTCGCCTATTCATGTTCTTTTGAAGGGCCGCTCCGGACGGTCCTTCATCTGAAATCGGGGAAATTTTGAAAACACCGCAATTATAACTGAAAAAGAAGACAAAAAATCCTGGAAAATTACATATAAAGCCCAAAACGTTCGAAGCGATCGGCTGCCCGGCTAATCGATTCCGTGCCATTTTCTTGCAGCAGAAAATGGCTAGGGGCTTGCGCACGCGATATTTTCCTTGATCTCACCACCCAATTGCATTTTTTGACGAAACAAAGAGCAATTTTTTGTAACTTGTTAAAGAACTAATTACATATTCAAAAAAATTATTGTTTGGGATCAATCGAATCGGTGCAACTTGAACGGCCCTCCTTCAAGGAGCGTGTAGCGAAAAATTGGCAAAAGAAAAAGCCTGACAACGGTCCTCTGATTTGAAACAATCAAAACGAAACAAATCGGCAAACTGCGACCTCCGGGTAAGCAGAACAAGGCCTGATGTCAGCCCCAAAGGCAAAGGGGCCTCGTGCCCCGGCGGTGCATGCCTGGGAAGAGCCCCGCTCCGCCCCTCCACCCACCTGCCTCGATAGCTCAGTTGGGAGAGCGTTAGACTGAAGATCTAAAGGTCACCGGTTCGATCCCGGTTCGGGGCATCTTTTTTTTGCTTTTTGGATACGTGCTTTGGATAAGGGTTCGAAATGATAATCTGGTGGAAGTTATCTTCTTTACAACCTTATTTACTTTTTAAATCTAGTAAATGGCTTTCTAGGGCATTCAGTTCTTTGTCGAAATATAGCAAAGGGATATTTATTCAATTCGAAGAGTAGTCGTCGAAATCGAGGAAAGTTGTCTTTGGGGATAGGTTGGAATCATAGGCATCGTTTCCGAAGTCAGGCGGATCCTAAAGAATAATGAAGCTATATCACCCAGCTGTTCTAGTAATTTATTTGCCCTTTTATATTAACTACTTCTTCCGACCCTTTGGAAAGATGATGCTAGCTTCGCAGAAACACTTACGACTCCCAAAGCATCCCAGATAAATCCAAGGCAAAAAATGGCAATCAATAGCAACAGTTTAGCCCGGGATCTCATCAGAGCAGAGAAGCGCTGTTTGGAATCGGCGCAATGAATAGAGAAGTCTGGCCCAGCGTCTCTTCCCATCATTTACGAGGGCGCCATGTTTTTGTCGGCGCTTTTAGTCGTGATTCATGGTGATGTTGATCGGAATAAATTTATACATACAACCGCTACATCTAAAATTAATGCTTCTTCACACTTCCATCCGTGAATCGTTTCAGGCTGAACATGGAGAGGTCAAATGGAGACTCTTGACCGGCGAGGAGGTGTGCCAATGCTCGACCAAAGCCGGGGGATACCTTAAAAGTATATTTTCATGGATCTTTAAGGATTTAGATTGAGTTCAGGGCCTTAATGATAGTTATCTCAAAATCGAAAGTTCTCATACCTTAAATCCACTCCCGCAGCATCCACTTCCAACGAGCACGTTGTTGAACTTCGGATGCCAATCAAAGATGTAGTGGTGATCCGCGGATACCTAGAAATCACTTATATATAAATTTCTAATGTCCGTGCGCCCGTCCGTCCGCCCGCCCGTCCGCCCGCCCGTCCGCCCGCCCGTCCGACCGGATCGCTGCGGGACCCCCAGGACCGGTTCGGACGGGTCCGGGAGCCCGGGGCGTTTCGGGATTTCGGGATTTCGGTGTATGGGATGTTGATTTATTACCCCCCGGGAGGGCCAGCGCTGAACCCCCGCGGAGCGGGGGGTCAGCGCTGGTACGTTCATAAATTCGATTTTAAGAAACATACCGTATATTTACACTTGTCAACATGGGCCGGCTCGGTAGCGTCGATTTGAGGGAAGTGCTGGCTCAAATGTTTCCTTGGCTCTTCCAGGTTAACAGATTCCGGATCCTTCTCGGCATCCCCGATGTTGAAGGCGTCGCCGAAGTATTTGCAGTACTAAAAGATGTTAGATTTGAGAGGCAAATGGCGAGAATTTCTGGTTTGTAAATCCTAAACGAAAAGATACCTTAATCGCATCCGGATAGTCCCTAGTCGGAAGGGCAAAAGCCTCTTCGCCAGTCCTTCGATCTTCGATGATGACCACCGGCATTTTTTCCTGGCTGAATAGCGGCAAGTCCTTCGGGTCTTTCGGCTTCCAGTAGGCGACGCAGACCCGTTGTGGCTAAACAAATGCAAATTTTGAAAGTAGGATGCTTAGTTAGTCCCGAGAAGCATCTTAAACCTTACCTGAAGCTGGGTAAGGTTGGCAATATCCGGAAAAACGGTCTGCAGCCAAGTGCCGACACAAAGAATTGTCCGCCGGCAGGTGTAGGTGTCTTTGTTGGTTCTGATTGTGGTAATCTCGCCGTCCTCAGTGACTTCTGAAGCGCTTGCTTACTTGGTTTTTTTTGTAAAGTTTAGTAGATAAAAACCGCAGAAAGTCGTGAAAGATAAGCCAAACACAGTTTGACTTTCCCTCATTTTCCACGAAAGTCAGTCGTATGCTACTCACCAATAAACGTCTCGTCCTCGTGCACAATCCCTCCAAGGGCCCGGTACTCCTCCTATCGGCTCAGACTTTCATAGGATTCCAACTTTTCGAACCTGATAGGTCCTCAACCACTTCTCCGGATAGATCATCCCGCCCATTGGGTCGTAGAGGGCTTTCCAGGTGTTATCGTACGTCATTTGTGGGTATCGCTGGTTAATCTAAAGCAAAATTTCAAGAAAATGGAATCTTCTGACCTCTTCTCCCCCAAAAACCTCGTGCTCAAGCCCGCTTTTCTTGGCCGTCGTTGAAATATGGTCGATAGTGTCGGGGTCGGCCACCCAGACCAGACCGGTGTTTCTGCAATTGCTCATGATTACGTTTTTAATTTCTTTTTGCAACTTAATGACGACATTTATGCTATTTTGAACTCCAAAGGGCTGTTAATTGAATTCTTAAAGTTTTTTTAGCAGCCGTCATCCGACCCATCTTCAATTCATACTCACCCCCACAACTTCTCGCCTCGCTTCTTCTCAAATTCAGCAATTTGTTTATACGAATCCTGGACAACCGGGACGTACGGGGCATCCACGTGCACTAAATATGATTCATAGAATTTATGAAATGATTTTTATAAGAAGCGAGAAATGGAAACTTACCTAGTCTCGTAATCCTGGACATACCATGAGAGCTTCCGTGCCAGTGTCCGAGGTTGTACTGGAAAAATATGAGATTACGTGTAATTTTAGATATACGCTAATATTTTTAGGTGTTAATATTATTAAGTAACTTTACTAATACCTGCTCCAGCTGCAGTGTCTTTAGCCCCAATTTTCGGCAATGGTAGGCCGTCGAGCTTCCCAAAATCCCAGCACCAACAACGATCGCATCGAAGTGTTTCGACATACTGGCAGATAATTAATAATATTTAGATATGTTTAAATGTTGAGAAAGCTAACATTAAAGGTCAATAACGCGATCAAAAAGCCGTACTGACCAACGAAACGGACGATTGATAAGGGTTAGCACCAAGGCCGGCAGCTGCCAAAAAAACGCCCAAAATTAATGATACTCGAAAGGATACATGGGCACTAGAAACTCGAAGTCAACGAAATAGGATTATTACAATTCAGTATTACTACTATTTTAAATGCCTTGTATATTCAATTTCTAAAATTTCACGTCAAAATCACTGATATTTTAAAATTACGGTTTTATAACGTCATGCTGCGAGCTCAAATTCGCCAAAATGTAAGTTCATAGACTAGCCGACACCTCTGTGTAAATAACCTATCCTATTAAAACAATATTTTCTTAAAGCGAAAAATTCAAAACAAAATAAATACCAATCTTTTTAAAGCTCGCCAATTTCAGAATTTATTGCAACTTATAAAATTCTAAACTATACGCTCAATAATTGAAATTTTTAATGGAACTAAAACTGAAATCCCAGGATGCTGGATGCTCAAGTGAACACTTGAAACCTTTTTATACGGGAGCCGAGCAATGAGGAGCGAAAAAACCAGCTGACCTCCCGGGAAAAGAGGGGCAGGGCGAAAATGTATCTAGTTTGATGCCCCCGCCCGAAATATTGGGCAAGATGGCCCACGAGATGGGAAAGAGGCGGAAGCACCGCTCGTTTTTTTTTTCGTTTTTCCGTACCCAGTTTGCTCTCAAGCGAGGCGGTAAAGATAGGGCATCACCAACATCTTTGACCAACGGGAGCAGGGTAGAGACAAAATTTGAAGACGGTTTTGTTGTGGGAAATAAATATAGTTGTCGTCTAAAATTCATTTGAACATCTAGGATAAAATAAATAAAGAAGTTTTTCCACGAAAAACAGTCGCCATTGGTAATAAAGTATCGCTTTTTATTGATTGTTTTTGTTGATAATCGTTACAAAATTGCATAGCGTTTCTGCGGCTTCGGGAACCTATAAAAATAATATAGATTTTATTTTTAATGGTAATGTGAAAATCCTCAATGTATTTTGTTAGTAAGGTGTTTCGTTTACCATCCTGAATTTTTTTAATTCTGACAATTAAACTGAATGAATCTGGTTTATTGCTTATTTTCTAGATTTTCTTTGGCTTTTTTAGCCCTTAAGTTGTTAAATTAAGTTATAGCTGTTTATACATTATGCCTATGTTTATACCGATTACGTATTCCTACAAAAATAATCCTTAAAAATCTCTTATATCATGGTTATTTGCGTATGCTTTGTTCCAAACTATGATTATTTAGCCCCGATACAATATCCACACCGTTCCTATTACAACCGTTTTTTGAATCGTAAAAACCTCGCTGCTCACTTTTTGTTTTTGCTTTTTCTGTTTGTGAATGCGGCCTGGAAAGTGGGGGTCACAAATAAACTGGCCACCACTCTGCCGTTCCCGCCCTCTCGTTTTCTCGCATTCTCTCCCATTAGTGCCCTTATCGCGGGCGATTTTTCAGCCAAAATCCAGTTCTAGGCCCGAAAACAACCCGGAATCTACCGCAAACGTCCCTGATTTTCATCCCACAGTGCAGTAATGAGCGCTGGGAAGTGTGAGTTTTCTTATTTTTTTCTAAGATACAATTTTAGTGGTTCTGGTGACCGGGGCGAGCGGATATTTGGGAGCGCATTGCGTGAAGACGCTTTTGGACAAGGGCTATCGAGTCCGGGGCACCGTTCGGAGCCTGAATAATGCGAAAAAGGTTTATACTTTATGTATATAATAGAGTATATTAATACAATAAACTATGTGATTTTGATTTTTTTTAGGTAGAGCCCGTAAAACTTCTTGATCCAACCGGCGAAAGCCTATCCCTCGTCGAGGCCGATTTGAACGAAAAGCAGGGATGGCCAAGGTAGGAACTTTTACAGAAAGATGAGTGATTTGTGGCGTTTTTATTTATTATAAATTGCTATTTTAGTGCTGTTGCCGGTTGCGACTATGTCCTCCACGTTGCCTCACCATTTCCACTCGTTGGAACGGAAGAAACGATAAAAACGGCTGTAGCGGGCACGATGAATGTTCTCGAGGTTGGTATAAAACTTTATTAAGAAAATGCTCTTCTCTTTTACTTTTCAAAATGTGTAGTTATAATTTTTCTAAAGCTAGATATATTTTATATTCCATTTAGGCGTGCGCAGAAACCGAATCCGTGCAAAAATTGGTCCTAACCAGCAGTGTTGCTGCCATTACAGGTTGCCTTACCGATAACACCTTTTTCTTTTGATTTTTCAACTGTATTTTCTATTTAGAAGGCTACCGCCACCTTGCCGAGCCGTTGACTGAGGAATATTGGTCGAAACTAGACGTAAAAATGCTCCGGATATCTGAAAAATTCAGTTTTAGGACGCTTCCGCCTACACGAAAAGCAAGACGATGGCCGAGCGAGCTGCCTGGGACTTTGTGAAGCAGGAGGGTCATAAAAATAGGTCAGGATTTTGACGTAATATTGGATACCACTATCAAAAAGCTATAAAAATCCAATTTTCAGCTTCACCATGACCGTCATCAACCCCGGCTTCATCATCGGGCCCCCGATTACTGACGACAAGGGCTCCAGTGTAGATGTGAGTTTTCAAAGTTTAAATATGGCAATATAATGAATTTTTGGTAGATTTTTTTGGCAAAGAAAAAGCTTGGTTTATCATAGCGTAACCGAATATTTAGATAATCACCCAACTTCTGGCCCTGCCAGCCGTCCCTCGTGTCACTATGACGCTAATCGATGTGAGAGACGTCGCTGAGGTATAAAAACTATTAAAACATCCAAATTATCGATTTTTCAGGCTCATGTAGCTGCCCTTTCGAAGCCGGACAGCGACAATCAGCGAATTCTGTGCACCAACGAGCACTCGTATTTCATGATCGACTTGGCGCACGTGTTGAGGGAGGAATTCGGGGATCAAGGTTTGTAACATAAAAATTTTGATGTCAAAGTTTAATAAAAAACAACAGCAAGGTGTTTTAGGCTATTCCCCTGCAAACTACCAAATCCCCGATTGGATCGTCCGTTTCGGGTCGTACTTTAGCGGAACGCTCGCCGGCGTCGTCACCAGAATTGGGATGAAGACCAAGTTTGACAACTCTAAGGCAAGAAATTGATAAGTTATGCATTTAAATAAAAATGTTTTAGTTACGTAATATTCTCGGCATCACCCCGCGAGACCCGCTGAAATCGCTTGTCGAAATGGTCTACGAGCTGATCGAGCGCGGGCATATTAAGAGGACGTCGAAATATCGTGGAAAGCCATAAATATTATTTGTTGTTTATATATGTCCATTTTTGCGTTTTGGCGGGCCGTGAATAAAGCGATTTTTACTTAATTTTGCTACAGAATATCCGAAACTAAAGCATAAGGAAATGTACATAATATTAAGAATAGCTAAAGAATTCATCGATATTCGACCTATTTTTACTTTATAAACCGTCATACAAATACGCTTATAAATAAAATGAGTTTTGGTGGGTAAAATAGGCCACTACGCTGTCATGAACCAAAGACAAGTAACCCGTATAACAAACAGGATTCCTTTTGTGAATTCGTTGAATTCGACTTATACAGGGTGTCCCAAACCCCCCCTCTAGCGGCGCCCAGACGTGTCCGATTCTCGCCGTTTAGGTATCTATCGAAAGCTCTCGAAAAGGCGAGAAAACAAGGAGGGTTCATTTTCTTTATTATGTATTTTTATTGGCGAATTTTACCTCCAAAATCCATGAAAACGGCAGATTTACGCGAGATCCGCATGCTAATGGCGAAATTCCTTAACTTTATACTAATAACTTTATGAAATCGCTACAGAGCTACAAATTCCCTGCGAATATTCGTCCGAGATTCGCCGTCGTTTCGTGGCCGTCATTTGGCCTCCCTCGTAGTATTTGCTGACATGTATAAACCATAGCACCGCCCCGTTGTTCTTTTTATGGCTCGAGTAGATAACGAAGGCCGGATTCGGGATTCTGTTTCTGTTCGTCCATGTTTTTTTTCAGTTTACAAACATGATTTTATTCTTCGATTTTCATCGCTTTCCCGGAATTGAACTCTGCCAGGGTTTCGCAATACCTCTAGCTTTTTGTGGTTTTGTGTTTACCCTCTATTTGTGCCTCGGAAGCTAGAGGCGGCCCCAGCCCAACACTGCACGCTTCGCTATCTCATTTTTGCAAAGCTTTCAGGCGAAAGTCAGGCAGTTCTACGCCCCGAAAACAATCCGTAATCGACGGAATCGGCCCTAATTTTGATTTCGCACTGCAGTAATGAGCGCCGGAAAATGTGAGTAATTTCTTTATTGTTAAAACCATAATTTTAGTGGTTCTGGTGACCGGGGCGAGCGGTTATTTGGGGGCGCATTGCGTGAAGACGCTTTTGGAGAAGGGCTATCGAGTTCGGGGCACCGTTCGAAGCCTAAATAATGAGAAGAAGGTTTGTAATGGCATAAAAGAAAAATATTTTTTGATTAGGTAGCACCAGTGAAACTGCTCGATCCAACCGGCCAAAACCTGTCCCTCGTCGAGGCCGATTTGAACGAAAAGCAGGGATGGCCAAGGTAACCTTATATGAGAAATCAAAGGTTGTTCGATTTTTTAAAACTTGATAATTTTTTGTTTTAGCGCGGTTGCCGGTTGTGATTTTGTACTACATGTAGCCTCACCGTTTCCGCTTGTTGGAACCGAAGAAACGATAAAAACGGCTGTGGCGGGAACGATGAATGTCCTTGAGGTAATTAGAAGCTGTAATAAACTATCCAGATTTTTCTATTTCTTCTTCAGACATATTGTGTTGCCTTTTCTACAGTAACATCTATTTTTGTGCTGTTTAGGCATGTGCCGAGGCGGAGTCGGTCGAAAAAGTGGTCCTGACGAGCAGCGTTGCAGCCATTACAGGTTGTTCTATCGATATTCGTATTTTTGTTAACTTTCAATTAATCTTTTAAAGTTTAGAAGGACATCTCCATGTAGACGCACCATTGAATGAAGATTACTGGTCAAAGCCGGAGGTTACTATCCGATTAGGTGTGGCGAAAATTATATTAGGAGGCTCCGGCATATCCGAAGAGCAAAACGATGGCCGAGCGGGCCGCCTGGGATTTTGTGAAGCAGAAGGGGCATAAAAATAAGTAGGTATTACAACACCTAGTCCTAAAGCGGGTGAAAAACTAGAAAAAATAATTTCCAGCTGCAATTATACTTAAGGCTGTTTAAAAACTGAATAAAATCCATTTCCAGTTTTGCCCTGACCGTCATCAACCCTGGATTCATCATCGGGCCGCCGATTACTGACGATAAGGGCTCGAGCGTGGATGTCAGTTAATAGTAAAATTTATTTTAGAGCCTGGATTTCTTTTTATATTTTTATGGACATTTTAAACTCGTGTATCATTCAGATTGTCACCCAGATCCTCTCCCTCCCGGCACTCCCTCGAATTACCCTTTCCATGATCGACGTGAGGGATTGTGCGGCGGTATAATTAAGCCAGCAAAATTAGAATTATTATTTTTTTCAGGCTCACGTAGCCGCGCTCACCAGTACTGACAGCGACGGCCAGCGAGTTATTTGTTGCAGTGAGGACTCCGCGTTTATGATCGATGTGGCGCATGCTTTGAGGAAAGAATTCGGGGATCAAGGTTGGTGATAAGCAAAATTTATAGTAAGTACTTTAATTATAGGCGTGCTAGACCAAGATTCTGGCATATTTCGGACTTGATCTCAATCGTAAAAACAACTACATCTTCTTTTAGGCTATTGCCCGGCCAACTACCAAATCCCGGACTGGATCGTCCGTTTTGGGGCGCACTTTAACGCAACGATGGCCGGCATCGCCCCCAGGCTCGGGAGGAAAATCAGATTTGATAATTCCAGGGTAAGGAATTGATTAATTTTATCCATTACAATCCGAATTTATAGTTGCGTAATGTTCTCGGCATCACGCCGCGTGACCCGCTGAAATCGGTAGTGGAGATGGTATACGAGCTGATCGAGCGCGGGCATATTAAGAGGACGTCGAAATATCGTGGAAAGCCATAAATATTATTTGTTGTTTATATATGTCCATTTTTGCGTTTTGGCGGGCCGTGAATAAAGCGATTTTTACTTAATTTTGCTACAGAATATCCGAAACTAAAGCATAAGGAAATGTACATAATATTAAGAATAGCTAAAGAATTCATCGATATTCGACCTATTTTTACTTTATAAACCGTCATACAAATACGCTTATAAATAAAATGAGTTTTGGTGGGTAAAATAGGCCACTACGCTGTCATGAACCAAAGACAAGTAACCCGTATAACAAACAGGATTCCTTTTGTGAATTCGTTGAATTCGACTTATACAGGGTGTCCCAAACCCCCCTCTCGCGGCGCCCAGACGTGTCCGATTCTCGCCGTTTAGGTATCTATCGAAAGCTCTCGAAAAGGCGAGAAAACAAGGAGGGTTCATTTTCTTTATTATGTATTTTTATTGGCGAATTTTACCTCCAAAATCCATGAAAACGGCAGATTTACGCGAGATCCGCATGCTAATGGCGAAATTCCTATTGAAAAGCTACCTGTTTTTTAGAAAAACGCTGAATATCGGACAAATCAGAATAAATCTTAAAAAATGAAGCCCGCTTGTTTTCTCGCCTTTTCGCGGGCGTTCGAATGGTATAAACATCATCCTGATCTGAGCTTCCCACGGACCGCTAGAGGGGGGGTTTTGGGACACCCTGTAGTAATTATGCTCATTAGACTTAAGCCTAAAGAAAATGATAATTTAAAAGAAACTAAATAAAATTGAATAGATAGCATACTAGAATAGAGAATGGTTATTGGCGTGGTCTAAACAAACGCAAAAAGGTAGCGACAAAAAGCGTCAAATTATTCATCGCCCTTTCGTAACCGTGAAATTTGCTACAAAACTATACTGGCTGTAATATCAGCCAAAGATCGCTTGAAACTCATCAATGCACTACAGGGCTACACAATTTCCTATCAATATCAGTCCAAGATAGCGCTTTCCGGGCCGTCAGTTGGCCTCCCGCGTAGTATTTGCTGACATACAGAAACCACAGACCGACCGGTTGCTCTGATTTGTCCCGGTGTAGATATAGCGGTGCCTCTAGGTCTCTGAAAATCGCTGATTATCATTTTTTGCCTTATTTATATCCCGTTGAAGCAGACCATAAATTGGACGCTCGGGTTCAACCTGCAAATTGCGGCGAGCAGTCAGCGTCGCAGATCACTCCTTGCACCATGGCAACAGAAAACCGTGAGTCTTTTTAATGTGAATTTTGGTAGTTTAACCTTGTCTAATTCTAAGTGTTCATGTTTTTTTTGTGGCTTAAATAAATCCAGTTATGCCAACTTACCAAGAGCATCATAGAAAGCTGAAATCGAAGCGTTTTTGCAATTTTTTTGGCTTCTGGAATTCGACTTTGAGATTTTGTTGAGGGGCTTTAATTAGAAAGGGGTTCTAATAGAGGTGTGTGAGACTTTTGTACATAGTTTTATACAGCTTTTTGGGACCCAGTTTATATATTTTGATTTAGTCGTCCTCGTTAGTGGGGCCACCGGATTTCTGGGCGCCCATTGCATCAAGCGACTTCTCGATCAGGGCTATAGGGTTCGCGGAACCGTACGGAGCCTCAACAATGCAAAGAAGGTTTTTCGAAAGCACAGGAGACCAAAATACATTGGTTAGGTAGCTCCGGTCAGAAAGCTCGATCCGACCGGAACCAGGTTGACTTTGGTTGAGGCTGACTTGAACCAGGCTGCTGGCTGGGAAACGTGAGTTTTCGGAAACAGGAAAATGGCACTAGGTGCAGCATATGGGCTTGGATTTTCATCACGAAAATATGCAACACTTCAGCGCTGTTGCCGGCTGTGATTATGTGCTTCATGTTGCCTCCCCATTTCCGATCGGTGGCACTGAAGAAACCATCCACACGGCGATTGCCGGCACGAAGAATGTTTTGGTGGTACGGAATATTTTATTTTACCGATTTGTTCTCGTTTTGTCGAAAATCGCGATGTCGAAAATTTCATTTTGTCGAAATATCATTTTGTCGAAATGTCATTTCGTCGAAATTTCAACGAGCTGGAAGTTCAATTTTGCGAATTTTTGAGATGAAGGCGGGGCGAAAAAGGCATTAAATTTTCGACAAATGGAAGTTGCGATCAAATGGTTTTCCGACAAAATGTTCTTTCGACAAAATGAGAATAAGCCTGCTTTGCAACATATTTGAAATTCAGGCCTGCGCAAATGAGCCCTCGGTCAAGAAGGTGGTGCTCACAAGCAGTCTGCTGGCAATTTGCGGTCAGTTTGGTTTTTCCTATAGTTCGGAATGTTTTTAGAGGGCCATCCCTCCGGGAGGTTGACCGACCAGCACTGGTCTATTTTGGATGTGGGTCGCTTATTATTTTTGAGATTTTTTTTACTGGGCTTTTTACAGGTATAGCTCCACTTTTAGCACGCCAACGCCTACACGAAAAGCAAGACTCTGGCCGAGCAGTCGGCTTGGAAATTCGTAAAGAAGGGCGGTCACACGAATAAGTAAGCTTTGTGTGAGAAGCTGGATAATCGGATCACCTTAGCTTCATCCTCACCGTCGTCAACCCCGGATTCATCACCGGCCCACCATTGACTGACGAGAAGGGCACCAGTGCTGATGTGAGTAATGTTCTGTAGTTTTCCTCTGCTCACTCTTTGGTCGTCTCGTATTTTACCTGCATCGAAACCATGCCATTTTGGGCCATTCCCTTAAGGTATTCATGGTGCCGATCTTAATTCAGGTCATCTCCCGAATCATGGGCAACTTGCCGGCTCTTCCCCAAATCATCTTCAGTTCCATTGACGTCAGGGACGTCGCTGCTGTAAGTTTTCAGCAATTTTGTGGCGTATACCGGTACCACGCTGCTAGTACTGGCATCTCGTTTCAGAGCCTCGTCGGGTTGGTAAGCGCTTTCTACAAGGGTTTTCTAGGCTCACGTCGCCGCCCTAACCGCACCAGAAACCGACGGTCAGCGTGTCATCTGTACAAACGCGGAGCCGGTGGCTATGGTTGAATTCTCGAAGGCGCTGCGAAAAGAATTCAAGACCCAAGGTTCGGGCAACAATTAAGCTAGAGCATTATATTACTAAAATGCGCCAATAAACCATAATTAAGATGATTTAGGATACTGCCCGCCCACCCATACGATTCCCGACTGGATCGTCAAGCTGGGAGGCATTTTCAGCGCTGAAATGGCTGATGTCGCATCGAGACTGGGAAAGGCTCATTCCTTCGATAATTCCAGGGTAGGCTGGCTTTAAAATGATCCAAATTAAAGCTGAAGCAGCTAGTTTTAGAATAGGGCAAAGCGCGTATTATTGAAACGGGCAAAGAAATCGTTCGTTGCCGAACCTAGCCTACAGGACGCTACTCTGCGCTTTTGAGCTCTGCGCGGTCTAAGCATTTGCGTGTTCTCTTTTTGGTCCACGCCAGTTCAATTTTCCTTTAGCTCAAAAGCCTTCTCGGCGGGGAGCCGATCGCCCCCAGCAAATCGGTGGTCGATATGGTGTACGAGTTGATCGAGCGGGGGCACATCAAGAAGACGTCCAAATATCGTGGGCCCAGCAAAAAGGAGCGATGATTAATTTAACTGATTTTGAATTCTAAATAAATTCGACATGATAACTCGAGGAGCTACAGCGCTATAAATTTCCTGCCAATTTCCGCCAAAGATCGACATTTGCAGGGCCGCTACTTGCCATCCCGCGTAGTATTTGCTGTCTTGCAGAAAGCATAGCAGCGCCCTGGGTTTGTTTCTGTTTTGTGCCCGTGTAGTTATTGTGGCGCGTCTGGGTCTCTGGAATTTGCCGCTCATTTCCTTTTTCCTTTCATTCTCACCTGCCTGCCGGGAGGGGGCCTACGAAAAGAGGGAAAGACAACTCTGAAAATTCGGTTCCCGCAGACCAAAAAGTGGGCACTCCGGGTGGTGGCCTGTAAATTGCGGTGAGCACCGGGAGCTACCCAAACTCTACTACTCGAAACTTTTTGAAACATGTCAACAGGAAAACGTGAGTGATTTTTTAATCTCAAACTTTATTCTAATTGATAAATTAAAGAACTTGATGATGCGCATAATTTAACTAGGACATTTATGGAAATTTTTCAAATCTGCCTTAAACTTTCCCAAATCTTTTTAAAGTCTCAATTTTTCGAAAAATTCTTGTTTTAATTTTTTATGGTTTTATAGCGATTTATTGAGTCGGCACTTAGGTGGCGTCACTCGTCACTTTTCGTCAGAATAATTGCCAGCACTTGAATTTTACGAGATGTTTTTCGGGATTTTCATGAAAGCAATCCTGGAACGCTTTTTTTGAAAAGGAGAGGATTCTGTCTAAGTCAAAAATATGAGCGAACGCACCCTTTTAAAAAAATTTAGTCGTACTCGTCAGTGGAGCTACTGGCTTCCTGGGAGCTCACTGTATCAAGCGACTTCTCGACAAAGGCTATAGAGTTCGTGGCACCGTTAGGAGCTTGAATAATGCCAAAAAGGTAGGAGAGGGCTTAGAAACAAAATTCGGTAACTTTTAGGTCGATCCGGTCAAAAAACTCGACCCTACCGGGATGAGCTTGAGCCTAGTGGAGGCCGATTTGAATGAAGCAGCTGGTTGGCCGAAGTAAGTTATGAATTAAAACTACGCTATCATGTAGAAGAAAATATTAAATTGATCTCCCTGAGGCTGACGGAGTGAGCTTGAACTTGCGATTGTGCTTTAAAACATGGTTTTTAGAGCCGTTTCTGGATGCGATTATGTCCTCCACGTCGCCTCCCCATTTCCGATTGGTGGAACTGAAGAAACCATCAGCACGGCGATTGCCGGAACGAAAAACGTCTTGGCGGTAAGTGCAGCCATTTTTTAAAAGGGGCTTCGAAATGCCAAAAATTGCGTTACGGACCGAAATGGGGAGCCCTGTACGTCGATGGCCTTTGCACACCGCAGAGGGCGGGGCGCGCCTGAATTTGAAATTCCCCGTCGTCACCGCCAGAACCCGTTATCGGCTGTTTCTGGGCCAAGTTCGATGATTAAAATAACAAAACGATTTAAAATTGAGTGAGGATGTCAGAAATGAGCTAAAAATTTGCGAATTATAGCTTTTTAACCAAGAAATCGACAATAGAGTCTCGCGCAAAAATCGAAAGAGGAGGGCCGTCGTCCTCTGGCAATTTGCGAGAAATATAAAAGCCTTCCCAAAAGGGCTTATATTTGGCATCTCGGCGCCCCTTTAAGGTTTTTTCGTCAATTTAGGCCTGCGCAAATGAGCCTTCGGTCAAGAAGGTGGTGCTCACCAGCAGTATGCTTGCGATTTTCGGTTCGTCGAGTTTCCAAATCCCTAAAGCTCTTTTTAGAGGGCCGCCCTTCTGGTAAGCTGACCGAGAAGGACTGGTCGATTCTGGATGTAGGTTCAAAAAATTCTTTGGCGCAACGCAACGCTGAAATTCCCAATGAAGCAAAGCAGGAAAACTGGCCATAATTTCAGAACTCTACCGCCTATGCCAAAAGCAAGACGCTGGCCGAGCAGTCGGCTTGGGAATTCGCGAAGGAGGGCGGTCACAAAAACAAGTAAGTGCCGACCAAACAGATAGAAATATCCGTAAGTTCAGCTTCATCCTCACCGTCGTCAACCCGGGTTTCATTCTCGGCCCACCACTGACCGATGAAAAGGGTTCCAGTGCTGACGTAAGTAATTTTTCTTTTTTTTAGTGACGTCGTGGGTCCGAGTATTGTGGGCTGAGGTATCACCCATACGGTCGCTGACATTTTTTCCACGTTTTAGTCAATGCTAAGCAAGCTAATCAACCAGCTACTGCTATACCGTTACGGGGCCACATTCTTCCGTTCAGGTTATCTCCCAATTGATGGGTCACCAGCCAGCCCTACCCCAAGTGAACTTCACTTGCATCGATGTCAGGGACGTGGCAGCTGTAGGTTTTGTCTTTATCGTATCCTTGTACCTGTACCACACTGGAAAATACGTTTTTTTTTGCAGATTCGTACAAATGCCAGTTGAAAAGCACGAAAACCAGTCAATAAACAGGACAAACACGTGAACCTTTGGGCTTGCAACAATTTTTCTATGTTCTCTAAATCAAGCCAAATCCACAAGCGGCAAAAAATAAACCGGTTACGCTGCGCAAAAAAAACCGATAGCGCCGCGCTCCAGGCTAGAAAGTATTTTTGCGTTCCGATACCTCACCTCATGCGAATTACCATGCCTCACCCTGAGTCTTTTAGGCAACCTTATACTCATAAAAGGCGTGCTTTAGGCTCACGTAGCCGCCCTCACCGCACCAGAGACCGATGGTCAGCGTGTCATCTGTACAAACGCGGAGCCGGTGCCTATGGTCGAGCTTTCGAAGGCGCTGCGCGAAGAGTTCGGTAGCCAAGGTCGGTTAACAATTAGGCCTTTGAGCCAGAGTATACTATGAAGACTAGAAAGAGCACAAGACGCGCTACTCGCTAGACAACATAATAACATTTTAATATTTTTGTTTATAAAATTATAAATTTTAATATCAGCTTTTATCATAAATGGTAATTAATTAAATTGTTCTGAATCCAGTTTTTAGGCTACTGCCCAGCTACACACACAATCCCTGACTGGGTCGTCAAAATCGGAGCGAATTTCAGCGCCCAGATGGCAAATGTTGCGCCGAGACTTGGAAAAGCGCATTCGTTTGATAACTCGCGGGTAAGTTGGTTTGGCTTAATATATTTGGCTATTTGGCTACTATTATAATACGATAAGTTAGTTCAAAACCATTTTTAGCTAAAAGCCCTGCTCGGCGGGGACCCGATTACCCCACAAAAATCGGTAGTCGACATGGTGTACGAGCTGATCGAGCGAGGGCACATCAAAAAGACACCGAAATACCGTGGTCCAAGCAAAAAGGAATGAGAATTTTGGATGTTTTCTTTATCGATAAATGTAATTAATTCTAAACATGCCATATCTCAATTAATCACCGTGCGTTGCTAGTTAGAAAAATCAGTACTTGCCGAAAACGAAAACGGAAACGACAACGGTGAAGAAGAATGAAAAAAAATGAAATTCGGATAGGGTTTGTGCGGTTTATATATCAGCTCTGTTCTGGCAGAAACCATACTCCCCAGTTTGCCCGTGCTTTGCGCCGGGGTATCTGCGCCTCAGCGCTTTTCATCATGTTTTTAGAGTGCTATTTTTTGCCCCCACCCGCCCGCCCGTCCATTGAAACAGCTTACCGACCCCACAAACCGAAAGTTTCCTCCAAGAATCCCGCTTGGTTCTTATTGTTTTTCTACCACCACCTCTCAAATGACCACAGGAAAACGTAAGCCATTTCATAGACCAAATTAGGCCAAATTTTCAAGGTTTAAAGCGATTACGACAGGCTAATTCGTAAAAGTTTCATATTTTCAGTTTGTGTTCCCGGATTAAAATTCAAATTTCAGATTTACTGGGTTTTTAACGCAAGTTTAACCTCGGGATAAGGTGTAATTTTTTTCTCATTTTTTCATTTCCAGTCGTTCTCGTGACCGGCGCGTCCGGTTATTTGGGCGCCCATTGCATCAAGAGGCTCCTTGAGCAGGGCTATCAGGTTCGAGGCACCGTGCGGAACGTCAACAACGCTACTAAGGTATTTAAAAATCTATTAAATTAAATCGGATTTGTTGAGGTCGACCCTATCAAAATTCTGGACCCAAATGGCAAGCAGCTGACGCTTGTGGAAGCAGATTTGGGTGAATCGGCTGGTTGGTCGAGGTTGGTAAAAAAAGTATATGCAATTTTTGGGTTTTGCAGTGTCGGCGCTTTTTTTTGTGGTTTATTTTTTCTGTCTTCCGATGCCTTAATTTAGTGCGGTTTCCGGCTGTGATTACGTACTTCACGTCGCCTCTCCGTGCGGATTTTTCACGACCGATGAAGTGATCCAGACGGCCATCGATGGCACGAGGAATGTTTTGGAGGTAAGAAATTGCCTTTTTTTAAAGGTTTTATATTTTTTTTAGGCATGCGCCAATGAACCGTCAATCAAGAAAGTGGTGCTGACGAGCAGTATGCTGGCGATTTTTGGTAAGATCGATGTACGCCTCGACATTTTTGATTTAGAGGGCCACCCCTCCGGAAAGCTGACGAACAAGGACTGGTCGATTCTGGATGTAGGTGCCAATTTTCTGGTCATTACGACATTTTAAAGAAATTAAAAGAAAACGAAGAAATAGATCGAATAAAACCTTTCAGAACGCCGCCCCCTACCCGAAAAGCAAGACGTTAGCGGAACAGTGGGCTTGGGAGTTCGTGAAGGAGGGTGGACGCAAGAATAAGTAGGTCGACAGATTTTTTCATTCTAATGAAATGACACCTATTTTATCCCGCATATTATACCTATTTTAGCTTCATCCTCACCGTCATCAACCCCGGGCTGATTTTTGGGCCTCCATTGACTCCGGAGAAAAGTTCTAGTGCTGAGGTTAGTTACAAAGCATTTAACTCGGTCGAATTTCTCTCTCTCTCTCTCTCTCTCTCTCTCTCTCTCTCTCTCTCCCTCTCTCTCTCTCGTTCTTTCTTTCTTTCTTTCTCTCTCTCTCTCTCTCTCTCTCTCTCTCTCGTTATCCCACTCTTTCTCCCTGTCTCTCTCGCTCTATGGCTTTCTCTCCCTCTCCATCTCTTTCTGGAAAAAAATCTCCCGAATTGGAAACTTCTAGATCGTCTCCCGAATGATGGGCATGCCGGCACTCCCTCACGTTAATTTCACTATCGTCGATGTCAGAGACGTCGCAACTGTAAGCTACTATATTCTATTTCATTTTCATCACTAAAAAATCATCTTCAAAAACGAATTTAGGCGAAAGTAGCAGCCTTGTCCGCGCCAGAAACAGACGGTCAACGTGTCATCTGTACAAACGCGGAGCCGGCGCCGATGGTCGAGCTGTCGAAGGCGTTGCGGGAGGAGTTTGGAAGCCAAGGTCGGTTTCTAGACGTTAAATAAAATGCATCTAATGTATGTTTATAAATTCTCAAAAGCTATTTTTTAGGCTACTGCCCTCCTACTCGCAACATCCCGGATTGGCTTGTGAGATTCGGGTCAAATTTCAGCCAGCAAATGGCTGAAATTGCGTCACGACTCGGAGTTGTGCATACTTTTGATAACTCGATGGTAAGGAGCTGCGGATCAGGGATTCATAGTATAACCAAATTTAGTTGATAAAGCTTCTTGGTAGAGCTCCGATTCGTCCTGAAGATTCCATCGTTGAGATGACGTACGAATTGATCGAGCGTGGCCACATTAAGAAGACAACGAAGTATCGAGGACGTGCTAATTAAACTGAGAATAAAGTATCGATCAGCTACTGTAATTAGAAATGTTTAAATGCACTTTCCGGCATCGTTTCAACGCTAAATTTTTGATATCGATATTAATACGGTTTCAATACGTTTTTCTTTTTAAAAAACAATGGTAACTTTGCAATTTTGACAAAGCAGCAAAAGACTCTCCCACGATAATCTTACGAAAAGCAACGCTGCATAGGCTACGCCACGCTCCGCTCCAGAACACGGCGTGTACCGGTATCCCAAGAAAACGGAGAGATTTGGTTTTAGACTATAACAACGATTCCAAAGAGCTGTAATTCTCCTGCGAAAGTGTTGCTTGTGTTTTATGGTTTTTCCGAAGGGAAAGCCTTTGCGGTCATCGTAGCCGAACCAAAAACCAGGATTTGTCACACGCACACACGCACTAAACGTTCTTGGGATCGAGTCGAGTAGCCGGCTCCTATTTTGCAGACCACATTCTTCCACGCCAATTTGTGCAATTGCAAAAAACGAAGCTGAAGATGTTTATAAGGTATTTCTTTATCTTGCATAATTACCATTTCGCATAACGCTATTTCGCATAACGCTATTTCGCATAATTTATATTTCGCATAACGGTCATCCCGTATAACGGTGATTTCGCATAACGCTTATTTCGCCTAACGAGTATTTCGCATAACGGTCTTTTCGCCGAACCGTCATTTCGTATAACGATCATTTCGCATAATTTTCATTTCACCTAACGATGATCTCGCATAACGTTTATTTCGCATAATTTTTAGTCCGTATCAATCAGAAGCAAAACAAGACGTTTTTGATGACGCGAAGTGCAGTTACGGTATAAGACAACCCAAATGTCTAGCTACCTTTTACCCAGATTCCGCATCTGCCATCAATGTAATGCTTTTGACCTAGACTTGCGGTCAGATTTGCTAGTTTACACAGGGATACTATCTACAAGGTAGCATTTTTGGCAAAGCCCTTCAAAAAAAGACGCATAACTCTAGGGGCATGAGTTTTGAGCAAGCTTGGGGCATCTGCAAGAAAAGGCGCAAAAAACCGCGCAGGTAGATTGTTTTTCATCGACCGCTAATTACTAAAAGAGAGTTATAAATAACATCGGCTGCTGATGCCGGAAATTATGTGAAATGGCCGTTATGCGAAATGAAAATTATGCGAAATGGTCCTTAGGTGAAATGAAAATTATGCGAAATGATCGTTATGCGAAATCACGGTTAGGCCGGATCACCGGTATGCGAAATAAGCGTTATACGAAATAAGCGTTATGCGAAATCACCGTTATGCGGAATAAAAATTATGCGAAATGCAATTAGGCGAAATGGCAGTATGCAAAATGAAAATTATGCGAAATGAATGGAAATCGTTTATAAGTACCCGGTCCTGTGGAAATGGCTTGATTCTATAGGCTTGTCGAAATTTGCATAAAAAATGTTCCTTGTATTTTTTAGTTAATTACTGTGTCTGATGAAAAATATTCCCCAATGTTTTTGTGGAAATTTTGTGGAATGAGTAGGATTTCTAGTTTGTGCCGATCGGGGAAAAGAATTGTATATTTTCGGCTAGACACGAAATTCTTATTAATTTTTTGTTAGTGAAGAAAAAATTCTATATCCGGGTGGTATCTGCAAAATACACCATTCTTTTCGAATCTGGACCGCTCTGTTTCGTTCTTTGTTCCAATAAGTTTTCCACGATAATTTGGATGGGAACGCCATCATCACTTCTTATGTTTTGTTCTGGCTCCAGCTAAAAATCGAGCTCCGATCTTTGAAAATATCTTTCAACGATTAACCAAAGATATTTTGTTTCAACGTTTTGTGAAGAACTGACAAAATATCCCATCAGTGTTAGGATATTTTGTCAGTTCTTCACAGATTTTACGCATAATGATATTGACAGCCAGATTGCCGACGTGCCATCCGGCATCCGGCAATTTAGGGTAATACCGGGACAGATCCAGGAACAAGGAGCATCTATTCTTGATATTGTGACTCTTGGAACCAGAAAGCTAGTCAGGCTTTGAATTTCTAACGAAACATTTTTCAAATTTCAAGCAAAACTTTAAAATGTCTTTGTTCCTAAAATTTTTTTAGTAAGAAAGACATTTTAAAGTTTTACCTTGTAGGTAATGAGTATCATTGTGTATTTTTGACCCGGTTTAATTTTTAATACTTTATTGCTGCGCAATTAAATACACTCGTATTTACATTGATGTACACGCTTTATTACACGAATCTCGGTCGGCTTGAAGTTGAGGTAAGTCCCGTGACGGCTTAGCGGTGACGTCTGGTCGTGGTCAAGCGGCGAGCCCTCGTGGTGGTGGTGATCTTCGAGCGCTTGGTGGTGGTGGTCCTGCGGGGGCGGTGGGTGTGATGATGGTGGCGTCCGCCGCGAGTCGTGGTGCCAGGGCCTCGCTTGGTCGTCGGCTCATCTGGCTTCTTCGATGGAGCGGGCGGGGTGGGTCCATCAGTAGGTCCAACAGGGTCATCAGATGGCTTCGGGGGCTTGGGGCTTTCCGTCGGTCCCTCAGGCGGCGTCGGGCGTCCCGTTGGCGGATTCGGAGGAGTGGGACGTCCAGTAGGTCCGTTAGGAGGCGTCGGTCCATCAGACGGCTTGGGCGGAGTGGGGCCACGAGTCGGCTTCGGCGGCTCGGTCGGGTCCACAGGCTTCGGCTGAGGCTTAGTTACTGGTCCTGCCGTCTGCGGCTCTTCGGAAGGCTCGGAGGTCGAAACGTCAATTGGCGCATCAGTCATTGGCTCCCCTGTGGGTGCATCAGTTTGCGGGCCTTCTGTCGGCTCGGTCACTGGGACCTCAGTCTTTGGCTCCTCGGTGATGGGCCCGTCGGTGGGAGCATCAGTTTGGGGCTCATCTGTCGGCTCCTGGGTGACTGGGACGTCGGTCTTAGGCTCATCAGTGATCGGTCCGTCAGTGGGAGCATCAGTCTGAGGTCCGCCCGTTGGCGCATCAGTCGGAGCATCAGTTACAGGGCCTTCTGTAGGAGCATCAGTCGGGGCTTCAGTCACGGGTCCATCAGTGGGAGCATCAGTGATAGGGCCATCGGTCGGGGCATCCGTCGGCGCATCAGTGACTGGGCCCTCTGTTGGTTCTTCAGTCACTGGTCCATCGGTCGGAGCATCAGTTTGAGGGCCGTCAGTAGGGGCATCAGTCGGAGCATCAGTCGGAGCATCGGTCACAGGTCCCTCAGTAGGAGAATCGGTCACTGGGCCCTCGGTAGGAGCATCAGTCGGTGCGTCAGTGGGAGCGTCAGTTGGAGCGTCAGTCACTGGGCCTTCAGTCGGAGCGTTAGTAGGAGCTTCAGTTGGTGCATTCGTCACTGGACCATCGGTAGGAGCATCAGTGGGAGCGTCAGTCACTGGGCTCTCAGTAGGAGCATCAGTCGGAGCCTCCGTTGGTGCATCAGTGACGGGGCCTTCAGTTGGTTCCTGAGTAACTGGGCCTTCAGTGGGAGCGTCAGTTGGCGCATCCGTGACTGGGCCATCGGTAGGAGCATCAGTGGCTGGGCCTTCAGTAGGAGCATCAGTAGGAGTTTCGGTTGGGGCATTCGTGACTGGGCCATCGGTGGGTGCATCCGTCGGAGCATCAGTCACAGGTCCCTCGGTCGGAGCATCGGTGGGAGCATCAGTCGGTGCGTCAGTGGGAGCGTCAGTGGGAGCATCGGTCACAGGGCCATCGGTTGGAGCTTCGGTGGGAGCTTCGGTTGGAGCATCAGTTACTGGGCCGTCAGTCGGAGCATCTGTCGGAGCATCGGTCGGAGCATCAGTCAGAGGTCCATCCGTGGGTGCATCAGTCGGAGCATCGGTAACTGGGCCTTCAGTGGGAGCATCAGTAGGAGCCTCAGTAGGAGCATCTGTTGGAACATCAGTTACGGGCCCCTCCGTCGGTTCTTGAGTCACAGGTCCCTCGGTCGGAGCATCAGTCACAGGGCCATCGGTCGGAGCATCAGTTGGAGCGTCAGTCGGAGCGTCCGTCACAGGTCCCTCCGTCGGAGCCTCAGTAGGAGCTTCGGTCACCGGACCATCCGTCGGGGCGTCTGTCGGAGTATCAGTGGGAGCCGCAGTAGTTGTAGCGGGGGCAGTCGTGGTGATGATCGGGGAGCAGACAGCATTCAGGCGAGCCGCGATGACAATCTGAAGCCGTGATGATATACTGGATGATTCTAGGTGACTTACGGTTTTCACTCCGCTCGGAACTTGGAAGAGGATGCTTGCTATCTGGAGCTTCTTCTGAGCAATAGTCAAATCCGGGTTGGCCTCGACTTCATGGATGGCATCGAGGGCTTTGATCGACTAAAAATCGAAGTTTTTTAATATTTGAAAAGTATCCATACCTCAACCAGCACAGTCATCTCGCCAGCAGCACGCTCGGCCTTCTTCTCGGCGATAGCGGCCAGGTAGGCCTCAAGAGAATTCTGGATGTCTGTTCCAAGCCTAGCGGCCCAGCTCTTCATCTGCTCCTCACGCTGGCGATCAGTGAGCAGCGGGTTCGATTGGATTTGGAGGAAGGCGAGACGGTCGAGGACGTTGACCTTCTTGAGGAAGTCGGCGGAGGGGAGGTCGCAGGAGTGGTCGAAAAGGCCCTGGTCCTCGGTGGTGTTCTTGACGCAGATGGCGTTGAGTTGGGCTGAGGTGACGATCTGGAATTTTAAGGGTTTACCAGTTTCCAAGGTGTGCTCATTCAAAGTGGTGCTCAAGCCGATACTTACCGTATTCACTCCTGATGCTGATTTCTGCAGGATGATGGCGATTTTCACCTTCTTCTGAGATGAGGTCAAGTCCGGATCGGCTTGAACTTGTTGTACCAGAGTGAGAGCTGCTTCTGCCTAAAAAATGGGGTTGAACTTGTGAGTTTGACTGAAGAGAGAGAGAGAGAGAGAGAGAGAGAGAGAGGGGGAGAGAAAGAAAGGGAGAGCGAGAGCGAGGGAGAGATATAGAGTCAGAAAAGGAGAGAGAGAGAGAGAGAGAGAGAGAGAGAGCCTACCTCCTCGACAACATGAACCTCTCCCTCTGCACGTTCCGCTTTCTTCTCGGAGACGGCGGCCAGGTAGTCGTTCAGAGCACTCTAAAAATTGAGATTAAGCTTGGGAGGTGGTCCTCTACCTGTACTTTCTCCCCAAGTCGGCTTGCCCAGCTTCGCATCTGCTCCTCACGTTGGCGATCAGATATGAGCGGGCTGGACTGGATTTGAAGAAATGCCAGGCGGTCGAAGAGGGAGACTTTGTTCAGGAAGTCGGGAGAAGGAAGAGTACAGGTTCGGTCGCGGAACGTTTGGTCTGGGCCGAAGTCCTAAATGTTGAGCTCAGTATGGTTCCACTCATGCTCACGCTCAATCTATGGTTTTGATGAACTTGACTGAAGCTTACCCAAATTTCGTGGCATAATTGATTCAGATTTCGCTATATTAATTTCGGCTTGGAGCTTAGTATACAGCTCCAAAAACTAGTTTTTGGGTTGCGGTTTTTGACTTGAGTTTAGGCTTGCTTTGAGCATAGGCTTAGGCTTGGCGTAGGCTGAGGCTTAGGCTCCGCTTCCGCTTAGGTTTGTGCTTAGGCTTAGGCTTAGGCTTCGGCTTATAAACAAGAATTAGATGTAAAGAATATCAGAAAAAAACTTACCGCAGCCACCGCCGCCCCAATGAAAGCCGAGAGAAGAAATAGAGCCGAAGTGCGCATGCTTCAGTCGCTTCAAGTAGTTGATTTGAAGCCGAAGTCGAGGCGGTTCTGGGTCAATCAGGTCCCCCTGTGCTTATATACCACCCAGCCGCCCACCCTTCGAAATAAACCCCCAAATTACGAGCGGCCATTAACAAAACAGCTTGACGCAACGGCCCGGGTGGCGTATCAGTGGACTTCCTTGGTCTTTTTTGGCTAGGGACGCCTTGTCCTTTCTTCTGTCTGCCTCTGTTTGCCTCTCTCGTGCTCTCTATCTCTCTCCATCCCTCTCTCTCTCTCTCTCTCTCTCTCTCTCTCTCTCTCTCCCAGGCCACCCCCACCTAAGCTTATCAAAGCCGTCTGAATGCCATTTGGGCTAGCCGACGTTTGTGAGGACGCAGGTGACCTAGAGGTTGCGTGTTTTGGCATAGATAGGGGTGGGTCGGAAGTGAGTCGTCTCGGGGGTACGGTATGGATCCTGTTCAGGTCTGGGTGCGTGGGACGAGTAAACGGATCTGTTTTATGGTTAGTAGTTGTGAGATGAGCTTGTCAGATCGGGAGAGCTCATTGGGAAGACATGCCTTTGGCAGAGTTTCTTACGTTGGGACCGGTCACTGACTTTGCGACTTGATGTGGGGCACAACATCGGCTGGATGTCTTCACCTTAATCCTGCGATGTTGTGTTGAGAACTACGGTGTGGAGGTAAGTCAGACGGCGCATTAATGGTTTCTTGGGCCCACTTGATGTTGCCTCCTTTCGCTGGTTTTCGGTTTCGACGTTGGCTTTGTGGCTTGAAGGCTTGGACCAGACTTCATGTTGCATTCACCCCAGGCAATTAAAAATCGTCTAAAGTGCTAAAAATAGTAAGAATATTCCTTAAAATACAGTAGGTGCAGTCGCCGGACTAAATGTTCTCGTTTTCGTGGTCATATTTTTAGGTGCGCGCTCTAACAGCTCGACGTATCCTGCCTAAACTCCCAAATGAACACTCAAACCGATATTCAGCCGTTTAAATTCTAAAGTTTAATTACAGCACCAATTTTAGACTTTTTAGCGTTCTATTGCATTTAGTAATGCTCATTGCTTTCTCACACGCGTGATTTTGAAGCGCCAAAACGCAACTTTCATAGCGTCTCATGGGCCCTAATTGGTGCGCTATTTTTCGGTGGGTAAAAATCACGCAAGTTGCCATCACTCCAGTGCTTGTCTGATTCACGATATTGCCCTGGGAGCCTGATATTTCTGGGTTTTCATTGTTGTTCAATAGCTACAACTCGGCCTCGGTCTCAAGTTTCCGTTCATATCTAAGTTCATCCTTTAGCAATGCGCTTCCACGAGACGAGCCTGTTCGGCGTGCTGAAATATGGCGGTACGCAAAATATGGAGCTGTATAATTGCAGGTAGAGTTGAAAATGAGCAAGAAATTTGACGAGAATCAGAAGGGTGCGCTTCAGAATCAAGAATAAAAAGGGTGTCATTGTTTTATTTGCAGTGCAAAAACCCGGGAACAATGGTTTGCCACCGGGAGAGCGCAGCCGGAACTCGGATGGGCTTTGCTAGCTTATGGAGTTGTGATTGAGGTGAGAGAGAGAGAGCCAGCGAGGAAGGAGAGAGAGAGAGAGAGAGAGGGAGAAAGAGGGAGAAAGAGAGAGAGAGAGAGAGAGAGAGAGAGAGAGAGAGAGAGAGAGAGAGAGAGAGAAGAGAGAGAGAGAGAGAGAGAGAGAGGAGGATAAAAATATGCAAGCTCTAACGGTTTAGATTCTGTACATTCCGTCTCTATACGTCATCAGTCGTCCAGCTTACCGGCGTATGCCATGTTACAAGGTGCGTATGTAATTAAAAGTTCTGTTAAAGTTGCTCACCGTTCAAAGCATAATAAGGTTCAAATTCCGTCTTTAAATTTAGTTTTCCTAATTTTGAAGCTTAACTTTTTAGAATACTTTTAGATCATGTGCCTACTCGGTCCAATCGATATGTGCGCAATCGTCACAAACTCGATAGTCAATGGGTACTTACTTACCCAGGGCGCTGTCTTTTGTACTCACCCGAACCTTATATTCTTTTTTGGGGCTTCTTGTGTCGGTAGTTGAACCCATTACCCATGTAAATTCTAGAAATCTTTAGGATTTTGGTGCGCCGCCTGTCTGTGTTGCCTAATTCTGGTTGTTAATCGACTATTGGAGATTTGGAGGCCCAACTTCTCGGAGAGAGTGTTTAATGGTAAGGCGTGGTTTTACATACTCTGATTTTTAAATATTTTTCTGTGTTTTAGAAACTCTATAAATTCTAAACTTGACAATCGTGAAAAGTTTTGAATTAATAAGGTGTTTTCTGGTTCTATAGGCGGCATAAAACCTTAGATCGAGATATTGTTCTAGCTTTATCTATTAGGTTGGACCGAAAGTAATTGTAATTTTTCGATTGTAAAAATTTGATGGAAGCCACCATTCCTTTATCCTAATGTTTTGCTATGATGCGGGGTCAACCCTTGTCCAGTTTCAGTTTTAGTTTTAACCCAGGACTGCCACAAATTTTTAATTAGCTGGAAAAGGGTGCTCGCAATCCGGATTTCGGGTTTTTGGTTTCTGTGAAGGATATCGCCGGCCGTTCCGACCCTAGTGACCTGAATAAGTGATAGTAGATAGAGAAAAGTGTGGGCTCAAAAGTGCATCAAAGAAAATTTTAATAGCTAGATGCATTATTTTTCCCCAGGTCAATTTAAAAAGATGTCAATCTGGGTTTTCGGGCCACGAAACGACACATTCCTTTATCGGCCGTTTTCTCCGAGCTTAGTGGATAACTTTTTGAGTGAACCCTATCAAAATGACGCTTAATGAAAGCTGTTTGCTGCCCGTAGAGCACATAAGAACAAATGTTCTGTCTCCGTCTGGATTTGAGAAATGAGTCGTAATTTGGAGCACATTTTGGTTTTATCTTTTTCTCCGCAAAAGAATGGGTTTAGGGTATTGGTAATTTTAACACAGTATCTACTGCCGATGACCAATAATATTGCACTATAGAAAAACATTAATTGGCAAAGGCGAAAGACTAGCAATGAAAATTGTTCGTCGCCAGCCGATCTCCGGGTCGGTCACTTGGTGCCTCACTAATTTGCAAAATTTGTACAGATAAAGAAGGGTGGGAAGATAGCTGGGATTGGTAGTATGTTTGTCAATAAAAACTGCTTATGATAAATGGATCAGCTTTAATTACATTATCCTCAATAAATTTTAGAGAGCATTTTAGTCAAGCTCACCGAAAAATCGGATTTTTATCCAAACAAATGTGAATATCGGCCGACTGTAAAGCCGTTAGCTGAATAGGGCACCATAGTCAGAAAGATATTAAACTGGCATTATACAATAAAAATTACGCTCGGGGGATTCCGACAATAACAGTTGTTATAAGGCTGGAAAGAAAGAGGAATCCTGGATGTCGCCCCCTCGGGTCGAACGGCGCCCCGGGCTAAATAAATTATTAAAAAAGTTTTAGAGCTGGGATTCGCACGATATTTTTAGGGCATGTAGTACCTTCCTAGACCAAACAGAGAAAATTAAAAATCAGTCAGTTACTTGGTGGGGTTACTAGAAATATTGACCCGAAAGTCGATTACAATTACTTTCGGTCCAACCTAATAACTATCAATACTTCGATTTCCCTCTAAATCCCGTTATTTTTCACCCGACGTGTACATTGAACTCATTGAACTTGTTCTACCTACAGCGCTATCAAACCCAAACCGCAAAAGTCCAATCCGCAGCTTATCACTCAACCCGGAGCAGCAGCCTGATAATTGATCAGGCGGCGCTTCCGGTGGCCGGGGGATTTGTAAAAATTTACGCGTTAGAGATAAGGAGATTTACGGGCCTGCTGATAGAAAAAAACGCGTCTACGCTGTTTAGGTCCCCAAAAAAGAATAATGACGAATTTTCCCGAATTCCTACCAAATTATGGATTTCAGGCACAATTTTCAACATCATTTTATCGCTTCCAATCCTCTATGGCGCGTATTTCTTCTGGTTTACTCCGCCGGTGCTATTTACATCCGTCCACGACTCGTGGTTCTTTGATCCGTTCATTTTTGAGGGTAGAACAGCTGAAGTAAGTTTTTAAGGTTACAAAGCATTAGAAATACAATCTTAATTCCTCCGCGAAAATTAAAACGGAACAAAGCGAGATATAGCTGTTTATCGGCAAGGCTATTTAACTGAAATCCATTTTTATGTTTATCTTGAGAACGCAATTGAATCTAATCGCTATAATGATTTAGTAAAGCTATTTTTCCTATCGTTTATACCTTTAGTACATGAACCCTCCACATACCCTAAACAACCTTCTATTATGCGCCCTGACTTGTTGCCTATATACAGCACTTTGTGGGTTATTGGCCCACCAATTCGGTTATAGCAGCGACGAGAGGAAAATGTCATGGGCCCAGAAATCGGTAAAATTTGCATAATTTGCATACCGTAGCTTTATACCGTCCTTGAAAACGCGATTGGGGCAGACTTTTGGCAGGCCGCCTCTCTGGCCAGCCTCGGTCTGGCCTCTCTTGAGCCCTCTCCTCCGCCGTTGGCTCGCCGCCCGGTTAGCTCAGTCGGTAGAGCACCAGACTCTTAATCTGGTTGTCGCGGGTTCGAGCCCCGCGTTGGGCTTACTTTTTGCTTTTTGGGATTTGGATAGCCCAGATTGATACTTTCAAGTTGAAGGTGTCATTTTGATCTTTTGGAGCCTAATCAACTTTAATTCCTTAAAATCAGCGAATTTTCCGCAAATTAGTATGCATTTCAACTAAAATAAAAACGCTACTTCAGATCTTCATCCAAGCCACCTCAATCTGTATCGCCAACCTTGTGGCCGCATTGGTCTACGTATTCATGCAATTCTTCCCGACCCCGCAGTTCTTCATTCTGCTCGGCCATTTTGGCTGGGAGCTGTGCCATGGTAAAGAATCTTCAAACGACACTTTCCGAATCAGCAAAAATTATTCTAATTATTTTTTAGGCTTCCCCGCCATTGTCTACCTCACCATCAATCGCTCAATTCGTCGCGAAGTCTTCCGATGTCTTGGATTTGGGGCCTACCTGGACCACAGCAAGCGCCATACCGCCGAATCTCGCAAAATCACCTCAATGCATGCGGTTTCGACTGATGGCGTTCATCCGCGAATCAGCAAAAATGCGGCGGAGGCCTGATTTTAGCATTTCATTCCGGTAATCAAAATCATACTTATAATTAATCCTCCTAGTTCTCTTTTTGAAAGATCACATTGCATTATTTTTTTCTTAACATACTCTTGGAAGGTATATTTGCCGTTCTTCCTCTGTACAGTGTTGTCTTTGTCCTTTATTTTTTCTGAGCTTTGAACATTATCTAATTTAGGTTGTTTAAATCAATTTTGAATTGATCTCGGCGTTAGCCTAGTCCTACAAATTTTTCTCAATTTTCAGAAAACCAACATTTTTCCAAGTTTTTTCAACAAATATAAAATAATGGACTTCTTGCGACAGAAAGTGCCAAATTCGAACCTTTTGCACAGTTAGTTATTGGGGGTTAGGTCAAGCCTCAAATTACGGTATAGTTTTACTATGATTTATAACTACTAGTTAGAAAACGAGATTCGGGTTTTATTTTTTGTAGTCTTCCTGCCTAGCTGTTAAACCTGAAAGCACAAAAAAATAGATTTTTAAACTTCCCGTCCCTTCAAAATACTAACACTAATCCTTGGATTCTAATTTTTCGATTTTTGCCCGCATCCAACACTTGAAAATTCGTCAAATTCCGCACAACCTGTACTCTTCAGCGTTGTTTACGCGTCCGGGCTCAGTTTGTGTACCAAAATCGAGCCCGCGAAACTTTTTTGCGCCGTCTGATGCCGTGATTATTTATGCGGATTACTGCCTTTGAACGCACGTACTTTTTTAGACAATTTTAATCCCGTGGGAGGACGCAGGATCAAAATCCTAAATCGGGGATTATTCTTGTGGGCGGGTACTGTAGCCGTCCTTCAAGACTAATCACTGGAAAACTGGACATAACGTATATGGAATGAGCAATTGGTCCGAAACTACAAAATGATACGCGATAAACTAAGTACCGTACTCCAGTATGGCTTCGGAAACCACTAATTTACTGAACAAGTGTGCAAGGATGCAAAAATTATTAAATGTGCATGGGAACCGATGGCGTAAAGCTTGACGGGCAGTAGCTCTCTTATCGTCAAAGTGGAATTTTGGTACGTGAAATAGCACGAGTTTCGCAGAATTTTTCGCTGATTCGGAACGTTTTCAAACGTTGCGAAAACCCTTTGATTAAAAATTTACAAGTGTTTTTACTTTAGTACGTAATAATGCCAAACAAAATTCTTGCTGTAGATCGTTCTAGAAATTTGGTGCAATACTTTTGGGTGATATATACCCATATCCGGGTTAAAACGGGGCTCTTTCGAATGGCATTCATGACAATACAGTTGTTCAAAAAACTACAAAAAGTTAAAACTATGCCCTAGAAGGCCAAATTTGAAATCTTACAAATTTCAAACCATATGATGACTTGTAAGGTTTGGAAAATTCCTTTATTATGCTGTCCTCGTTGACTTCCCAAGTCATATCTATCGTCGGGTTCCGTCCTCGAAGAAGACTCCACCATCGATGGCGCAGTACTTGGGGCAGACACCCTTCTCTCCCTGTCGTCCGGCGTTTCCGGATCGGCCCGGTTGACCTGGCTCTCCGTCGTTTCCGGGCGATCCGCTGTTTCCTGGCGAGCCGGGCGGGCCACGCTTGCCGGCCTCTGAAACGTATTGGTAAAACCTTTAATTTACGTTTTTAGAAGTTATTCAAAAAGCCTTGGAATATATATCGAGTTACTTAGCCAGAAAAGCTGGCGCATAACTAAAGGGACGGTGACAGTTAGGTCTTAGTTGTTTTGGCATGCACTTTATCCGTGGGGTCGACAAAACGGGTAAAAATAAATCTACGCCTGCTGTCACGGTCCCTTTAAAATTATCTAACTAGCTGAGCTTGATCTCGAACTGTTCTTTTTTTCTATTTACCTCCAGGCTGTCCGTTGGGTCCGGGGGATCCGGGCTGTCCGGGCTGTCCGTCGTTTCCGGGAGGTCCAGGGGGACCAGGGCTGGGTGGGGTGCTCTGAGCATTCTCTCCGGGAGGTCCTTGCTCTCCAGGCTGTCCACGGCCACCAGGCCTGCCAGGGCCACCCTTGCGGCCGTTCTCGCCGGCGTTGCCTAGAAACAATATGTAAATTCGAGAGAGCGAGAGAGCGAGAGAGAGAGAGAGAGAGAGAGAGAGAGAGAAAGAAATGGAAAAAGAGAGCGCGATAATGGCATCGACAACGCATAAGCCTGAGAGTGATCAGGAGCGCGCTAAATCAATGACAGAGCAGAGAGTCAGCGCGGGACAAAGCGTGAGAGAGACAAAGAGAGATAGCGAGAGAGCCAGATAGAGAGAATGAGCGAGAGATACGTAGATATAGAGATTATGTCCCTTACCATCAGGTCCTTTCTCTCCAGGAGGTCCAGGAGGTCCACGGCTTCCAACAGGTCCACCAGGTCCGGGGGGTCCAGGGGGCCCCTCATTGTCGCGACAATCGCACGGCGGGATCTCGAACTTGCAGGGCTTCTTCGGGGGACGACCCGGGTTTCCGGGCTGTCCGTGAGCTCCTGGGTTTCCGGGTCTGCCGGTACGTCCGGGGGGTCCGCGGGGACCAGGAGGGCCGTTCACACAGCAAGCCTCGCATTGGTCCTGAAAATGGTTCATAGCCGCCTAATTTCGAAAAATTTTAAGATTAAGTTTTCCTTATTTATATCTTTCAAAATTTCAAAATTTTAATGGTATCCCATCAATGCAGAGCCTTGTACGGCCTAGATACCTGGAAGCGATTAGCCTGACGAGCAGTCCTGTTCCTAGCCGGAAGCACGAATTGTGGTGTCTTCTCGAGCACGTCGGAGGCGACGATCTACAAAATTGTCGTTGCATGGCTCCTTTATTTGATAAAATCTATAGTAAAACATTGCAAATACCAGAAAGTGCGCAAAATTACGACTGCCAACCTTGCACTTGTCCAAGTTCTCGCGCATCGTGTAGCGCTGGTGCTGCACGTAGTGGTAGACCATCGGCAGAGCCACGCACAAGCTAAAGAATGTTAAGATATTCAAAATTTTGACAAAAAAGCATGGATACGTTGTTTTTTTTGTGAACCAAGCTTGCCCTCTCAAATAAAATAAAAATATGCAAGTATTAGGGAAAACATAATACGAGGCTTCTCACCTAATAAACGTAATAAACGTTTCAGAACCAGAAAATTTCAAAAATTTGGGAATTCTGACGATTTTCGGTGACAAACTTTATATAAAAATTTTTAAATTAAGGTACGACAATTTCCTTCAGAAAACTAATTTGAAAGTTACTAAAAAAATTTGGTTTTTAATGGATACGATAATTTGGTGATTTCAATAAATAAACGTGGTGTCTATTAATGCGTTCAGGGCCTCCGAAGCTATCTATAAAGGCGAATAACGTTTAGAATCGATCTAGTTAATTCCAATTTTCTCACCTCATAATCGCCAGCGTCGACACGGCGACCGATATCCATCCGATGAGCCGGAAGGCCCGAATTTTCGAGTCGACGTCCATATTCCCTGATCGGACGTTTAGGAGGGGACCTCGGGCTACAGTTCCGAATCCACCCTATATACCCCAGTTAGTAGAAAAATATGTGGGTGTGGGGAAGTATTTTCCGCAAAATCTCGCACCACCTCCCCGGCGCCCTATCCTGTGGCCTTTTTGCGGGGCGCGGCGCGCGGCGCCGTTCCGCCACCGCGTCCAACGCGTAAAAAATGGAAAACTAGTAGCTGCGTGGCCGGGGGAGTTGCTGAAATTGGTTTTTAGAGTTTTTTTGGGGAGCCTAGGAATGTACGGTGGAGTGAGTTGTACTTTGGATGCTAGCTACGCTAGCTGGTGGCTAAAATTCGATGGGCAAGCTGGGGTTACGGTAGTGGTGGAGGAAAGCATGCCATTTATAATTTGAATATAAAATTGCCTCCACGCTCAAATTCGAATTATATTTAAATTATAAAGATTTATAAAAAACCAACGAAGGTAAAAATGTTTTGACAAAGTCGTTGTTTGAGATTCATAATTTTACCCTAGATTTGGAGGAATAAAAAGTACTAAAGAAATAAAAATTTTTAGGTTGCGCCCGCTTTTCAATTATGCTAATTACGTGTGTTTTAGTTTTGCGAGAAGTCGGCCAAAAAAATCAAAATCTAGCATTCAAATAACGTGTTGGGAATTTTTTCAATCTCGGACTGTTTTAAAAATATAGATTGCTGATTTTCGAATATTAGCAAATTATATCAATTCATAACCCTGAAAATGATTTAGAAAAATTTAGAAAATACTAAAATAATGTAGTATTATTTTTTGTTCGTAATATTTCCAGACAGTACCTTTTTTGGGCGGGCATCAATACATTCAAATCCCACCGTACATGCCGCGCTTCGTAGCTGTCTGGCTTTTTTATTTTAAAAGGTCGCTCATACCGGGAAAAGCTTTATTTACTTTTTTTTGGTTGTCAATTTCCCTGTAGCTGCTGTTCCCGGGCGAATTCCAGTACCAAATTTCCTAAAAAAATGGTAGGTAATCCGTAAGAGGGAGTTGGCCTTTGGCTTTGGCCGTCTGATGCACTTATCTCGCGGCAGGATACTGTAGGATTCGGACAGAGATGATTCACGGTATGGGACTCGATACGGGGTGGCCCAATAAGAAAAACATCCCACGAACTCGACGCAGAAGTATCGGATCGGCACGATAGTTACACCATTCGCAAGCCCTTGAAACGACGAGTGGCGACATGCTTGAAAACCATATTTTTATTTAAAGGGCACGTTCAGGGACGTTTTTTTGTAAAAAAGCAAAGATTTTAGCCGCGTACGTCCATAGGGTGTACACGTTGGGACGACTGTACGACCCCTCCCTGAACGTGCGCTTTAAACGCGCCAGTTTACAACGCCTTTAAAAACATTAAACACCGCTTCCGACTATTTTGCATGGAGAAATTGAGGCAAATTAGCTCGTACGCAACCTTGCAAAACAGCAAAATCCTACAAAATATTTAGCTTGTCAATAGCGCATTTAAATAAAAACCTGGTTTTGAAGATGGCTGCAAACTCGGCGCTTGAAGGGCTTTCAAGGTTGTTTTTGTGATTTGTAATCTTGTTAAAGATGCCTAAATTCCACTGCTGACTCTCAGGCTCATTTCAAACAGTACGACACGCCTTAAAGGGGCTACGAAATGCCAAAAATTGAGTGTCGGCCCGAAAATGGGAGCCCTGTACATGGGAGGCCTCTGTACACCTAGGGGCCCGGGAAGCTCGCAAATTTGAAATTCCCTGTTGTCACCTCGAAATCACGTTCTCGGCTGTTTCTGGGCCAAATTTGATGATTAAAACACCAAAACCTATTAAAATTGAGTGTGGATTACAAAAATGGACCCAGAATGCGCGAATTATAGTGTTTTCACAAAGAAACCGGGCAAAAACAACTTCGTGCCTAAAATCGAAAGAGTGAGGGCTCTCGTCCCGCAGCGCCCGCTGGCAATTTGCCAGAAATCAATGAGGCCCCCCAAAAGGGCTTTGATTTGGCAGTTCGGAGCCCCTTTAAAACAGTGTTTTTGTTATATTATGCACTTTGTAAAAAATTGCTTTTTGTCTACTTTTGCTTTTTTCGATTCTTACATCATAAAATTTAAGCCGATCCCCAGCTTTTTGCTTTTACAGCTTCTGAACAGACTGTTCCCACAGGTGTTCATCTACGTGCCGCGCGCAATTTAAAAACATTTTTCGATGCGCCCTGGAAAGGTCAAGGCATAAATATTTGCGATCAACCACCCGGAGAACAGGTGTTCCATTTCAATATTTTCCCTGAGAAAAATGCCGGTCTCCGAAAAAGCTTGGAAAAACTTTGGTGCCGCGGGTATTTGCTGAAAATTCAGCTGGAGGTGTTTGGAAAGGTCATTCACCTTGCCACTCGCCCTTTTTTAGCCACAGCTTCCATTCAGAAGCCCATGGAGTTCCGGGTGTCCCACAAAAACCTAAAATTATTTGGTAGTTGAGCAGATGAACTTGCCTTGTCCCGAGTTCAAAAGCCTAATGAGTTTTCTTTTGGGCTACAGAATAGAGGTCAGCAAAAAAAATCATACGGGGTCCGAAATACACAAAAATTGGCAGGTACAAATTGCAAAGTCGTCAGGTGGTGTTGCGAACACCGTAAAGGTCAAGTGCAAGCCCGAACGTCAGGCGATCGTCGTTTGGTATCGCAGGCAATAAATTCTAAATATCGAGTATGAGGGATTTCTTAGAGGAAATTTTTTCTAGAGAATTCGGACGCATGCAAATATTTCTGGAAACCTACAAGGTGTGATACTGAATTACAAGGTACGCGAACCAGACTCAAAAATTTTTGTTGCAGCTTTGAAGGATTAAAAATCATTTCCGATTACTTCCAGATGACGGGTCGAATTCTTTATTTTATATTGATGTTCCCTGAAATTGTATAAAATTCGCTCATGTAGGGATGCAACAAATGTGAATTTGCGACGGTGGCATTTGGTGTGTGTCGTTTTGTATGAAATTTTATGTCGCATAGTATGAATTTCATCTGACATTTAGCTAAACGCTTTTTGCGGAAAACGATTACGGTATGCCACTGTAGATATTGCAGTACGATAGGGCGTGCTACGGCAAGTTAAGGTGTCGCGTAGTGCTGCGCCATGTATGTTCCTCCACCTACCGCATCAGCTACACACTAGGTAATGGTGCGTCATTGCACCACAGTACGCATCACTATGAAATCGTGCACTACCGTATAGTACGTAGCGCTAGAGGATGTGTAGTCAAACGACGATCAGTACGCTAGCGTACGTTCAGTTACAATACGCGATCCCTATCATTCATTGTATCATACATTCCATTCCGATCGCTTCCGGGCCGGTCTGCCCAATTTTTCCAGCCGGGTCGTTTTAATTTTTTGCGTTTCCGACCAGCTACAGTATGCCGCCGGCACACACCGTTGCTCAGAAATTCCGGGCGCGACCTACCTTTCCTTTTTTCGAATTTTAAACCCAGACTTTTCCAATTTTTTTGCATACGATAAGCGGGCTACTGTACATTCCCAGACCCTCCTCTCCTATCGCAGCTAAATCCATCACCCCTAACTTTTGCTAGAAAAAGCGAACATTCACGCGTCAGTGGAAACCGGTTACTATCCACGGCTTGGGGTGGACGGGGTATTGGAACGGAGTGCCACTCAAAAAGGAGACTTCCCCCACCCCGATCCCAACAAAAACGGATCAGGAGATGGGCCCACACCAGCCCGCGACCTGCACCCCCGCATTTTTGTTTTCCCGTAAAAATGCCTGGGCTTGGTTTTGTGGTATATAAGCCTATTCCTTTCAGAGGAGCCGGCTCCGAGTCTCTCTCCACTGGGTCGAGCCATGGACGTCGACTCGAAAATTCGTGCCTTCCGGCTAATTGGGTGGATCTCCATTGGGTTGTCGACGATCGCGATTCTTAGGTATGGAAGTGCGGGCAATAATTTGAAACGGGATGACTAATAAGATACAGTAACCATCGAATACTTCGTTGTATTCGATTTTTACCTAAGTTGGTTCTTATTTAGGCCTTTAATTTTTTTGTCCTGTATGCAAATTTGTAATTTTTATATTGTTCTTTTAGCTTTAACTTTTCGAACGTTGAAAAGGTGGAGGATAATTTTTTTAGAAAACCATATAACGGAATATAAAGACACTTATTAGAAAACAATTTTTCGAAAAGTCCTTTTTTGGCCTTTTGTGGTTGCTTAGCAACTTATAAAATCGTGGTATCAATATTTTGCTATCTTTTACTGTTTTCAGTCAATTTTTTAAACTTTGCAAGCCAGATAATTACAAAAGAAAGGCTACTTGCAATGAATTCAAAGCCTGGATTAGCTTCTAATGCATAATTTCCACGCTTATCTGATTTCTACGTTTATGTTTAATTGTAGGAAAATAAGCCAATTATGGTTTGCATTGTATTTTAAAATTATCTTAGGTGCTAGATGTCTAACGTACTTTTTATCAAAATTAGCAGACGGTCTGTGGGACGAAATCAATTCCTCTATTCCAGCTTGTGCATCGCCCTGCCCATGGTCTACCACTACATCCACGCTGCCAAGCACACGATGATCAAGGATCTGAATGAGTGCCGCGTAAGTTAAAAATTACTAGAGAAGAAATCTGGGCTCTAGAAAACGACCCACGACGTCTACCTCCAGTCCGCTCATCTGCCGATCCCCATGAACCGCACGGCTCGTCAGGCCAATTATTACAAGGTAGGCAACTTTTCGAAATTTGTGTATTTTAATGGCATAATGTATTGCTGCCAGCTCACGCTTGAAAATGTATGAGTTTTGATACAATGGTGAATTTTTCAGGACACTTGCGATGGCTGCTGTCTTCCTGGAGTCGCAGGACCTCAAGGAGCTCCAGGAAAGTCTGGACGACCCGGAAAGGTATATACTTCAAGTTAGATAAAATTGGCAAGAGCGCCTCTGATATGCGTTGCGGATGCGTTGCGTGTCCCCCCCTTGCTCATTATTGGGTGTTCTTCGGCGCGCCATCTACTAGAGACACGCAACGCGGCCCCCAAGCGTCCAGGCGTATCTTACGCTCCGCTGTCTACCTGTCTACCTTTACAGAGACAGACCCAACGATATCCTACTATATATAAAAAAATAGTGTTTGTGTGTGTGTGTGTGTGCATTTGCATGCAACTTCCGTCAGGGTGTCCAGAGGATATCTCGAGAGGAGATGGGTTTGAGGAGGTGTTTGATACGTCATTAGATGCGTAAGGAGCTGGAGATGACTGCACACAGATCAGATTTTGTAAAATATGGTGTTTTCGACATTAAAATTAAGTTTTTCTTAAAAATTCCGACATCCTCTTTGTTAGGATAAAATTAGCATACGCCGGAAGTCGCTGTAGCCTATATAAAGGCTCAAAGGGAGCGTTTTTCATTTTTGTCATCGGAATTGGGGCACAATTATGCAAAACGAAGAACATCATGGGGTTAGACGGGGCCAGGGTTGAAAAGTCGCGAAGCGGCTTTTCAACCCTGGTCGTTAACAAATTTCTTCAGCCCGGAGCTGCTGGCCAGCCCGGAAACCCCGGTCGCCCACCATCAGAGGCTTGCGAGCCGATGACCGAGCCTCCGTGCCACTGCACCGACAACCAAGGACCGGCTGGACCTCCCGGACCCCCTGGACAACGTGGAAACCGTGGACCGCCCGGACCTCCCGGTGGAAAGGGACCCGATGGTACTTTGCTCTCTCTCACTCTTGCTCTCTCTCTCTCTCTCTCTCTCTCTCTCTCTCTCTCTCTTTCTCTCTCCTCTCTCTTACTCTCGCTTTCGCCCTTTCTTTGCCTCTTTCTCTCTCTCGATCTTTCGCGCATTTTCTTTCTTTATCTCTTTCTCACTCTCTCTCTCTCACGCTCTCCCTCTCCATGCACACCTTATTTTTTTCAGGAGACGACGGTGAGAACGGCAAGAAGGGCAACAACGGCCGCGAGGGACCTTGCGGACGCCCCGGTGTACCTGGACCGCCCGGAAACCCGGGACCCCAGACTCGACCCCTCCCTGGACCCCCTGGACCTCCCGGATCGGATGGACAACCCGGCCAGCCTGGTTCTCCCGGACCCAACGGATCCCCTGGAGGTAAATTTTTGATCGGGTTGGCCCTTTAGCCCTTATTTGGAGCAGGCGTGGGGCCGGCTGTTGACCGGTAGAGCACGCTGGCAGAACCGAATTTAGTTTATTTTATTTAGGCTTTACGGCGTGGAAGAATTAAAAAATAATTCCATGAAGGGAACTTGCACCGAATTTGACCAGATGCGCTCGCTTGATGTTTAATTTCCGTTTTTTTTTGTGGGTACAGTATACTCGAAAAAAGGCAACTTACAAAAACCAGCTTTTCCGTAGGTACCAGATTCTTAAATTCCGGAAAGAAAAAATTTATGAATTTCTATATAAAGATCGGGATCGCATTTTGGCCGGATTGGTCGGAAAGATCAAAAATTGTCGCTGGTTAGACCAGTACAGCCTAGAAAATCCAAATCTAATAAAACCGGCTTTCCGGGTTCGTAAATCCGGTATTCTCGGGAAATTTATCGTTTATTGAGCTCCCAAAATGCAAAGGATTATTAATCTTTGGCAGTACTGGTCTCAAATTCCGCTCTTAATCTTTATTGCTAGGTTCACCAAAAAGCCCCTTGTATAATTTACTAAAAGCAGGTTATCGAGAGTGCACTGTTCGTTCCTAGTCTCCGTTAAAGAGCGGGACAGCTCAGACGATTTATTTTTACCTTATCCTAAAGGAAATCTGTACCAGGCACCGCGTGGCTAGGCACTTTTATGGAAAGTCAAATCCTGGGGATTTGATTCATAAGATGGCAACAATAAGGGTGACTCAGTTCAGTACCGGAAGCAGTAAATCTACTGGTAAACCCTTTGAAGATCATGACTTTCATTACTGTCTTCGATGGCCAGGTTGTAGGCTATTAAAGTAGAGAATATACAAGTCATTTCCGGTGAGAATCGCGATTTTGAATTATTAATGACGTAATTCAAAGCGTAGAATTCGTAAAGGGTCATCGCAGATCCTCAAAGACTAAAATTTACGCTGCAAATCGTTCGGTTAAGTTTCATACCCCGCGTTTAATTTTCATCAGCTCGTATCTTGACTAAAACCAACATTTCAGAAGCCGGCAAGCGCGGCCCGCCCGGCTCACCCGGAAACAGCGGTGCGCCCGGAAACGATGGAGAGCCAGGTGAACCAGGTCGATCCGGAAATGCTGGACGACAGGGAGAGAAGGGTGTCTGTCCCAAGTACTGCGCCATCGACGGCGGAGTCTTCTTCGAGGACGGAACCCGACGATAGATTTTGTCGGATCGATGGTCCGGATAATAAATCATTTCTCAGGCATCTCGATTGAGCTTACCGTTACTATCAATTCACGCAGAAACACAAGACGTTGTGCTGATCGAATTTAAAGTGATGATAATGACCATGAAATTGATTCCGTGGTACAGTTACTCGCAAGAAACACCTCCGCCGGGGATTCGGAGGAAACTCGGGCCGGGATGATTTTCGCATGACTCAATCTCTCTCTCTCTCCCTCTCTCTCTCTTTCTCTCTCTCGCCCTCTCTCTCTTTCTCGCTCTCTCTCGTTCTCTCTTTTTCTCTCTCGCTTTCTCTCTCTCCCTCTCAAAATGACGAAAAACACCACCGGTTTAGTTTTCTAGAACTAATCGCTTGATGTTGAGCGTTTTCAGAAAAAAAGGTGTTTTTGCTCTTAAAAAACATCTGCTAAAATAATTTATTCAACTGCGACAAACGCTTGGACAGATACCTAAATTGTTAAACATTAGAAACTTCTCTATGTCGTCGAAGAGGATCGCTGGAAACCTGGACCGAGACGTCTCTTTTTTGGCAAAACCATGGTTGAGAAGCTCATAATTTAAGTGCCTGGCGAATTTTAAGCCGCATCCCACATCTAAAAGATTTGGTGAGCCATGGTAACTTGGTAGATTAAATGGACTGCGCGTGTACTTGCCTGCAAAATATCTCGAATCGAGAGGCAGGCATCCTGGCCGATTTTGCAAAAACAAAATATCACCATCGTATTCAGAAAAATTTTCTCTTTCGAATGAGCCCTCTAGCTCCAAATTTTCGAGCACTTCAAACAGCTGTAAGACGTCGTCTAGACGAAGCCTGCCTTAATGAAATATACAATTCAAATCAGAAAAAATTCTCGGATCAGATAGGCTGCTTCAAATAAATTGGAACTTTAAAGAAAAAGGAACGGCATCATGGCAAAATGTCTCTCGGTGGCCAAATTCGACCCTAAAACTTCAATATCTCGAGTTTTAAGATCAGTAGCAGTAATTTGGACAGCGAGGTGATGATCAGCGTCGTCGATTCTATCTGTATACAAATTTTCAGCCAATTCTGAGTCCGGGTTTATACGGGCTTCCCTAGTTAGCAAAATGGGCTTTTAGAGTCGAGCAATTTGAGTTACAAGGAGCGTTTTAGGTGATCTGGGACCTTCGCGATGTGACATAGCTCATACGATAGAGCTTAGAATTCTGAACAAGTCCCAACTTTCAAAAACTGCCGAACAGCAACGGTTTTCGAGAAGCGGTTCCTCAAAGTTTGCCTTTTGTTAAGCGCGAGCCAAACATGTTCAAAGTCCGGCCCTTCAGAGCCGATTTTTTCGAAAACGTTTAGCAGTTTTCCAAAGATGGCTTTGTTCAGAATTTCAAGCTCTATCGAATGAACCATGCCTCAACGCAAAGCTCCAATATCACAAAACAAAAACCACTTCCTGTTAACGTATTCCATAAAGCATAAAACTCCGAAAAATTCCTCACTTGCAAAAACAAAATTACGTCCCGTTTCTTATTTTTACACTGCGCCTTGCTTGCTATACACAGTCAAAGGACGAGGGCGATTCTTGCGTTTTTTAAAGTGCGACCTCGAATTTTCGAAGAGATGAGCTTAAATGGGATGTTTTTAGAGCAAATGCTTTTGGCAAGCGGCTTGTCAAAACATTGCTTTTCAAACAACTGGCTTTACAATGTAACAACGCTCAGACATGGGTACAGTCATTTTTCTCGGCCCTTCCGCAATATTTGAACTTCTCGGAATCCCCGCAAGTTCACCGTAGCCTAGAGCCAGGGCCGTAACAAACCCAAATTTCGGGGGGGGGGCGACCCCAAAAATTTTTCACTAATATGACTAAAACGACAGCTCCGCAGGCAAAATTTTTGAAAACATAGGGTTTATAACACTAAAACTAGTGTTAAAAATAGACAAAAACAGCGCCGCAGGCAAAAAAATTTTTGGAAAAATTAAATCATAAGGGTCCCCCCTTATGAACTTTTCGGCCTTCGGCCGATTTCGGGGGGCGGCTCGCCTCTCGCCCCCCCCGCCCTCTTACGGGCCTGCCTAGAGCGCACAATCTATCTATTTTTCCCGGGCCAAGTGCGTCGCAGGGCACTTTCCGGAAAAACGAAACTTTTTCCCCTCCCTAAGGTCCCATTCAGCACCTGTTTTGCTTGCAAAAGCGAAAATCCGGCGGATTTCCAGGGATTTTCAGGATCAAACCCATACCTACAAATTCGAGCCGGGCGGCGCGGGAGTTACCCTTTTTTGGTGTTGCCAAATCTGATCCGGGGTTACTGTAGTCGCGGCCGGGGATGACTACAAAAAACGACCGAAAAATGGAAAGTAATTCCGCACTTTCTGGACGAGGGCGACCGGCATCAACACTACTTGTGCCGGTGGACAAAAAGAGAAAAATTGGGGCCAGTTCGAACGGGGAATTAACGTCGAATGTTTTTTTACGATTTTCTGAGGTCGGCTGCTTGACGCGTTTCCGGTCCAGTTCAACATGTGGCTACAACTGGGGATTTGAGAAGGTTACGGGTTACTGGGTTGCAAAGCACGAAGGTGATGGAGAAAAATCTAAAATCTAACATCGACGCATTAAGTCGCCATGAAGCGAAAGTGGGATTTCGGCATCTGAATTTTGAGCTGAACACGAATCCGGTCTAGGATTTTCCGGAATAGTTCAAAAGCTACGGTAACTTGTTCAAGGGAAAATTCCCCGAAATCCGGACTTTAGAGGCCCTTTCCGATTTGTTTTTAGATAGTGTGCCTTGCTCAGAAAGGCGCTTTTTCGAATGAGCGAGCACGCGAACAGCTTTTGAAAGGCCTCTAAAGTTCGAATTTTAGGAATTTTAAACCTAGCCTTGAAGCACATAAAACTGGATTCGTGATCAGCTCAAAATTCTGCACAAGTTGGGCTTGGTCCTATTCCGAAATCCCACCAGCACCGCTTTCCTTTCCTGTTTCTGCACTTCGGGTTTTACCCGGTTTCTCGCCTCTCCAATTGCCGTTTGGAATTGCAGGGTTGCTTCAACCATTTCTGTGATAATACGTAAGTTCCGAAATTGTCTAATTATCGGCTAGGAGAACTTGTCTTTTTGAACCCACTGAAACGAGATGTTATGTATTGGTACAATGGATGGCTGGTACACCGGTGCGGGTATTTGCTCGGCGTTGGTACTTTGATGTCGCAAAAATTAATTTAATAATTTTTGTCCGGTAAGTTAATCAGTCTGGCTTCCAGCAAATTTACGGGCTACGGTACCCCCCCAGCCGGAAGTTTTTGGCTATAACTTTTTTATTTTACATTATTGTAGGCTCAAATTAAAACTCTTAGTATATTTTTCGACGCTCTATCGAATGGCGTTGCAAAAACCCCGACAAAATAAGCGAAAATACCGACAACTTTGAGACCCTTCGGCTGTGGGGGGGTAAAGTAAACTCTTACCAATTTACGATATTTCTAAACCGTTAAGTTTCCCCGAAGAATCGAATTTTTTCAGCATGTAAGCTCTGAAATTTTGGATGAAACGCTATAATCACAAAATTAAACTATGAAGATCCCTAAAAATCCCTAAAAATCGTGATTTCCGGTTCCTCGAGGAACCGGTCAAACTTTAAAAACCACCCTACGCGCCAAAGGTTTTCCAACGCAATAGCTGCGCATAACCGGCGACCTCCACCTTCTAATCCCGAGATTTAGGCCACCTCCCCGAGGTCATTGTAATAGTCTGCATCGGCGATAAGCTGTCTTTTTAACTCGGCGCCCCCGCCATTAGTCACCCGACTCAAAATGGCGACGGTACGGGCCACCAGACACGATGAAAATTGCCACCCTGAGTTTTTTACGCCAAACGGTGCTGGCTGAGGCTACCGTATCCATCCGCAGATCGTAAATGAAAATGCGGGGATGCTCTTGTTTTCCGGCATTTCGGGGAAGGATCGAAAAATGGCGGAGAGGTCACCGCTCTCTGTACCGGATGGCTACGGAATGCAGAGATCATGTAACAAAAAATCCAGGTGGGATTGCCGAGGTGCACTATGTGGGATTTTGCAGAATTCCGCTGGTGTTCCCAATTTTACTTCCATATTTCTGCAAAGGTACTCAGTTTTGGAGATTTAGACCGCCGTAAAATTTCAATCTTCGCTCACAAGGAGACGTTTTTGAGTGTCGTCGGGAATTTGGCATGGGACCAAGCCTATCTTGTGCAGAATTTTGCGCTGATTCCGAATATGGTAACCGTTTTTGCGGAGTAGCCATTTCTCGAAAGTTATGAACGATAGAAACCTCAAAGCAGATACTTGGGAAATTGGGAGGGGGGGGGGTTACGGTAGATGAAACATTGAGCTTCGTTGCTTCTGAAGCGATAATTTTACAAAAAATTTCAAAATTCCAGCATTTTTGAGTTAAATAGCTTATTTTATAGAGAATTTGTTCTGAACAAGATGCGCTATCTAGTTTTGTCTGAAACCTATTCCGAAGCCTTTTTATGACTGTTGAAAGTAGCCGATTTTGAGCTGTTTTGAGGTTTAAATCGTTCATAAGTTTCGAGAAATGGCTATTCCGCAAAAACGGTTACCATATTCGGAATCAGCGTGAAATTCTGCACAAGATAGGCTTGGGCCCATGCCAAAGTTCCGACGATACTCAAAAACGTCTCCTTGTCAGCATGGGAACGTACAGAAATTGCTGTGCCGAGATTGCAATGCAACATTATAGGGTGTCCCAATAAAAAACACCCCCATCTAACTCGATGTAGAAGTATCGGATCGGAATGATCGTTATACCATTCGAAAGCCCTTGAAACGATCGGTTTGTAACAATGTTCAAAACCATGTTCTTATTTAAATCAGCGATTTTACAAGCCCTTCGGCATTTTGCGGTTTTTTCGGGTTTGCATATGAGCTAATTTGCTTTAATTTCTCCAAGCAAAATGACCGGAAGAAACCGTTAACTAGAGGCAGAAAAGTTTCCTTAATATTGT